CGACGATGGATGATGAATATCTAAGTGGATTTCGCCTAGATGATAATGTGCAGCTAGGAACAAAGTATTTTTTTTATAAGATCCCTGACAAAACTGTGGCATATATGGACCTGACTTCAGAAGGTATACCGAGGTTTATGGATTCAGTAAATGGAGAGAACTGGAATGTTCACTGGGCACCACAGAATAATTCATGTGACAAATATGGAGCATGTGGACCTTTTGGGGTTTGTACAGCTTCTGAGTCTCCAACTCCAATCTGCAAGTGTTTGAAAGGGTTTGTACCTAAGTCACATGAGGAATGGAGCAAAGGAAACAGGACAGCAGGGTGTGTGAGGCAAACTAAATTGTCTTGTGAGAGCAACACAAACAAGTCAGTCACTTTAAGAGGAAAAGGAGATGGGTTTTTGAAGATGGTAGGGTTGAAAGTACCAGATTTTCATGAATATATCACGTCTTCAGATGCTGAAGAGTGCAAGATACAATGCCTAAATAATTGTTCTTGCTTGGCTTATGCATATGTTAAAAACATAGGGTGTTTGGCCTGGTCCAAAGACCTTATTGATATACAGGAGTTTTCGTCTGGCGGAGTAGATCTTTTTATTCTCCTAGACCGTGCAGAAATAGGTAAATGATGATAATATTGCTTGCACTGCTTTAAGTAGAAATATCTTTTCTTTTCTGTCTCACACTCTTTGCATTACAACTTCATTTTTTCAGATGAAGGAAATCAAACGAAGTTAATTGTCAGCCTCACAGCTATTGGTTTTATTATTATCTTGGGTGCCGTAGTGTTTGGTTTGCACAGGTTGCAAGCTAACCAAAAGGGTAAGAGAGAGGGGGGGATGCAATTCATTTGTGTAAGCTAACAAAGAAATTTTATGGCTTGATCTGACTCATAATTTGATTGTTATATTTGCCAAATCAGGAAAAATCAAAGTAACAACAAAGTTCTTTAAATTGACTGATGCTACTGAGACTTCAAGAGACACTCTTCAAGAATATATTAGAAACCAAGATCCATCGGAGCTATGCATCTATAATTTTGATAGCATATTAATCGCTACGAACAATTTCAGCATCTCAAACAAACTCGGGGAAGGAGGATTTGGTCCAGTTTACAAGGTTATTATTTATTTCTTTTATTTCTTTCTAAAGGAAAATATAGTATCACAACATCTATACAAGTCTACACAAGATAAGGACATGAATACCTTGATTAATTTGTAGGGTATGCTACAAGAAGGGAAGGAAATAGCAGTAAAAAGACTATCTAGTAGCTCAGGTCAAGGCATAGAAGAGTTCAAAAATGAGACGTTGTTGATCTCCAAGCTCCAACATAAAAATCTTGCTAGGATCATGGGCTGCTGTGTCAACAAAGATGAGAAGTTACTGATTTATGAGTTCATGCCAAACAGAAGCTTAGACACTCATCTATTTGGTTAGTTTCACTGGACTTTATCTTTGCAATTTGCGTACTAACTTAAAGCCACAAATGAATTCACATGAACTAAATGTTCAGGCACAAAGAATCAAAATTATTTTTGATTGATACAAAGAATCACTGATTTATTTGCAACACAAACAGTCAAGCAAGACATCCAGCAGATTTAATGCTCATAAATGTAAACTGAATTGTATACCACATGAGTACATTTCAGTTCTTTATGAAGTATAAGAGACAATGTTGAACTAGACCTGAAATCAATTTTGAATCTGATTACACCCCTGTTTCACTATTGTTCAGACAAATGCGTCAGTTTTTTGTATAACAATTTAAGGTTAAAAATCTAGTGGCAGTCAACGTTTTCATTGTACAATGCATGGAACATATGAATGAAACTATTATATTTTGAGTGTTTTCATTGCTTAGATCCAGTGCGGAGACCTGAGCTTGATTGGGGTAGACGCTTTAATATTATTCAGGGTGTTGCTAGAGGGCTTCTTTATCTCCACCATGATTCCTATGTGAAGGTAATACATAGAGATTTGAAGGTCAGTAACATTCTCCTGGATGAGAACATGAACCCAAAAATTTCAGATTTTGGATTGGCACGTATTGTTCAAGGGACACAGAATCTAACAAATACTCAAAAGGTTGTGGGAACACTGTAAGCATCATTCCCTTTCCTATTCTTGGAAGAACATCAAAACTTAATTTTCAATGTTCAGCATACTGCCTTTCATATCAATATATTAGTGAATTTATATGGAAGCAGCAGAGAATCAGAGATAACATGTAGGAAATCTAGCCCTACCATTCATTTTATTTGGAACCCTGCAATCTTAACTGAAATATGTGGCACTTTTCTTAAGACCAGAAACAAAAAAGAAATATGATCAGTTAATAGTATTACAAATGAAATTCCTTTGCAGCGGCTATATGTCTCCGGAGTATGCCATGGGCGGGATATTTTCTGAAAAATCCGATATATATAGCTTTGGGGTCTTGCTATTGGAGATTTTTAGTGGCAGGAAGAATACCAGCTTCTATTACCATGACCAAGAGCTAGGATTGATAGCTTATGTAAGTTCACACTCCAAATAAATTTAGAATTTATAACTTAAAAAATCTACATGAAGCTAAATACAACAGAGTCTAACAATTGTAGCCAACATATATGAAACTTTTTCAGGCATGGCACTCATGGAATGAAGGCAGGGGATTGGACTTGGTTGATGAAGTCTTGGCAGATTCATATTCCCCATCAGAAGTGACGAGATGTGTGCATATTGGTCTTCTTTGTGTACAGGACAATGCTGCAGATAGGCCAACCATGCCAGATGTAGTTTTCATGCTGAGTAGGGAGACAGATCGCCCACAACCTAAGCGGCCTATATTTAGTTTCCGTAGCTCAGTCTCTGATCCTCAACCGCGGTATGACAACATTTGCTCCGCAAATGAAGATACCATAACACTGCTTCAAGGACGATAAAGAATTGCAGGCAATCCTTGGTTGCAACAATTTCTTCTCTTCCCCAGCTTTGTACCCTCTTCCCACCATTTTTTTTTTCTGAAAATATTTCGTTTTTGTTTCTTCTGTGATTTCTTTATAGGTATGCAAATTGTATATTCAGTCAAATTGTTTATATTTCATAACAGGTTATAAGCAATACTAACAAAGGTGCCTGTGCGATGACGCGAGTATTAAAACTGTATAGAATATGTAAAAAGTTGTAAAAACATATATGAAACGCAATATTATGCCAGCCCATTATCATTGACTCAGCATAATGGATAAACTGATTGTGATTCTGATTAATATTTCTATTCACCCATCTCCTAGGTTAAAGTAGTGACCTTTAAATAGGATGAAATAAACACTCCTTCATATATCGATCTAAACAGATAACATCAGTTCAAATTCGTGACCATAAGTATGTTTTGCAACAAAAGTTCAAGAAGCCAGTTTCCTTGGGAAGACCTTTACCAGTCAAGAGTTCAAAATCTAACAACGATAGGAACCCAATCTATTAAACAGTATAGCCGTGGAATATTTAAAGCGTATAGCCGCACGGCAATACTATTAAATATTTGAATATATTTAATGCATATAGCCACTCGGTATCTTACTTAAATCTTTCCCCTGTTTGGTGTAATTCTTTGCTCTTGTATAACTGAGTTGTATTTCAAACTCTTAAGTTCTAGTTTCGGAAAGTAGAGGATATATGGTTCCATACTTGAGTAGAAATATATTGCTCCACAAGGTTCTTGAGGGAAACATATGGGGACACAGATTTTATATCATAAGAATCCTTTTCCTTTATAGAAGAATCTCTAGTTTTGGCTTACTCTGTTTTCTTTTTTGAATAAAATTCTTCATATCCTGTAACCATACATTGCTTGCTTTGGCTATCCTGTGGTAAGTTGTTTTCTCATTCTCTTTCGGGTGACATTCAACTCAAGTACCCTTTTCTGAGATGCACCTGCTACGAAGTTGGGCTCAGCAAATATGAATGCAGAAAAAGTCCTTGCGAAAAAGGATTTCTCCTACCGTGGCGTTGATGGTTTAGTCAATTGTTGTGTTAAACAGTCTAGCCGCACGGCTATACTATTAAATGTTCGATTATATTTAAATCGTATAGCCGTATATATTAGAAGTATATTTAACGCGTATAGCCGGTTGGCTATACGATTAAAATATTCCAATATATTAATTCGAATATATTCAGAGAGTATCGACGCCCGGATATACGTTTAAATATTCGAATATATTATGAGAGTATAGCCGGGCGGCGATACTATTAAATATTCGAATATATTTGGCGAGTATCGCCACGCGGCTATACTAAAAATTGGGGGTATGGGTCGTTCACTATTCTAGTCTGCAGTTTTTCTGTACCCATCAGCAATTTGCTCGACCCTCTTTTTTGCGATTAAAGACCTCTTCTTTATAACCTCATTCGCAGGGAACACGACGAAGCTTGGTGGTAATGTAACACCCCAAAACTGGTGTTATAAACAAACAGAGAAACCTTAATGCCCAGGCTATTGTAAAATCCCTTGCTCTGTTTTAGAACGTAACCATGGCGGTTTCGCTGACGCTCCCAAGGTTCAAGTTTCGTCGGAACTGAGAGTAGACAAAGACGTGGAGGATAGGAGTTGAATGCCCTCTGCAGCTCTGCCACCTCCGGCTGCGTTTTACGTACGATTAAATAGTCAGAGGTACATGGAGTTATCAACAAAGCTTTCATAGCTCAGTTGGTTAGAGCACCCGTTTAGTAAGCGGGAGGTCTTGAGTTCGACTCTCAATGAAAGCAAGTATTTTATTCTTCTTCTTTTTTCCATTTTTTGAGCCTCTCTTCCTGATCCTAATTTGAACAAACATTTTGTCCATTCATCCAACAAGGTTTCCTCCATTGTAATTTGTAACCAACCCTAACCTTTATACTATCATTAGAAGGCATTGGATTGAAATTGACATTAAATGGCAAGACATACAATTCCCATTGGTTCCAAAGTTGAAACAAACTCCTAACTATTGGCAAAGAGAACATTTTCAGATTCCATCTATTTCAGCCTGCATTGATAAATTAACCCAATAATCATTGGAGGCATCATTGTATGATGAACCAGAAGGGAATATGGGCTCTTGCAGCCAACTCTGAGTTGGAGGATTGGATAATGTGAATCCAGGATCTGTAAATATTGCCTCAGAATCCCGCACAATGTGTGACTCTGCCCACAAACTTTGTAGTTCACCAAATGTTTCACATGCACAAATGTTCTGCTCTGCAATCTGGTCTTTATTATGATCACCATGAACAGTACCAGAGCTTGATGAAGTTGAAGTTGTCTCCAACTTTGATGCCTTTGGAGCTTCACCCAGAAGAAAGAGTTCAGTTTCAGAAAACAACTTCTTCTTTTCATTGAACACTTGTGCTTCTTGTACTGGTTCAGTCGCCTTGAAGCGTTTTTTCAAGTGGGTGTGCCAGTAATTTTTAATTTCATTGTCTGTTCTTCCAGGAAGTGTTGCAGCAATAGCAGACCATCTAGAAAGAAAAAAAAATGGATGAAACTACACAAATTGCTTAATCAGAACATGGATTTCCAGTCCCTCCTAAACTGAAACTTGCATGCTTATTCTTTCATGAAGTTTTTAATGCAAACTCATAAGTTTTAACTGGTAGATAGTTATACTTACCTATTTCCCATTGTTTCATGCAACTTGAGTATGGCCTCCTCTTCCTCCTTGCTGAAGCTTCCGCGCTTAATATCCGGCCTCAAGTAATTCACCCAACGAAGCCTACAACTTTTCCCAGACCTTGCCAGACCTGAAACATGGCAGACTATTATCATTGACCTCAACTTGAACCCCAAAAACAAACAGAAACTAAGTACCAAAATGAAATGAAAAGAAACCTCTGAATGGCTTCATAGTTTCATACCAGCAGGTTTTGGCATCTGACTCCAATTCCAAATACCATATCTCTGAATGTAAGCTATCAACTTGTGATCCTCATCAGGGCTCCATGGCCCTTTCTTCACAGCTGCCTTCTCACACTGCTGACTCTTCACCATCTTCTACACCAATCTATCTTTCTATCTCTGAATCAATTAGTTTTCCCAAGTTGGTTTCTGAGCCTCTACACTCAATTCTTCTTATGTCTTGAATGTGCTCAAATAAATTTATGACCACATGTGCCTAGCTGCATATGTAAAACATGTCACCAAAGTCCAAATTCTCCAATAATTAGGAAGCTTTTCAAAGGAGATGAGCAAGCAGAAGGGTCCTTCAGTATATCACTTAATATTTGTTTTGATGACATTCAGTTCATTCAGTGCTGAATTTTATTTTTTATTCGTTTGACTAGACAAGCAAATATTACAAAGTCAATCCTGTCAACTTCCTTCCAAAAGTTAATGCCGTTGCCATCACCCCCACCATATCCCATTCCTATATATAATTAATTAAGACTCTGAGAGGAGCATTAATTTATTTGACAATGGGAAGATGGGTTAAGCTGTTAATTAATTAGTATTATTATTATTAGCCAGAATAAATTAGAAAATAAAATTCAGGTAATATTTGTTGAGCATTATATCTTTTCCTTTAGATGGAACAGTGGTCAAAATTGTTCAGCTTAGCCTCCTCAAGTATCTTCTTTAGTCAGCAAAAGTATGCATGTTCACATTGATATAGCATTTACAAGTGTGGCGTAGAAAATAATATACAAAGACAATTGTACAAGATGACGAACAGTACATCAAGTTTGAACTTCATCAGTCTAAAACACGAGGGATCGATTACTACTTGCACATGATCAACATACTAAATGTAATATAATACGACTATTAGTCTATTATATAATGGTGTAGCTACATCAAATTTAAATTAAATAACCCAGCAGCAATATAATTTTAATTGTTTGATTTAGATTTTGGTGGACATTGAGGACTAATTTTAAATTTTATTAACAATTATGTTCTGACTTTCGTCGAAGTCGAAATCGATGTTTTGAAGAACTTATTAGTAAATGAAAAAAATGGGTGCGTAACACATGCTGATATAATTATGAAGTTTCTCAATCTCATTGACTATTTATTCATGTAATTATGCACTAACCACCTTAAAATGGATTGCCATTTCTACTTTACATATATTACACTTCTTCGTTTTGCATATTAGATGCAAATTATTGGTTTGCATACTTGTTCAAAATACATGAAGGAAATTTTAAGCTATGACTAGGCCCAACATGAGTTTTATTATCCTACGGTCTGTGGGCTTGGCCATTCCCTGTTAACTGTTCCAATCAATTTCATTCTCCCCTAATTATAATTAGTGCCCACCAAAATATAGTTTAATTTGGGAAACGTTGTGATGAGGAGCATATAATCGGCATTTCATTGATCAGCGATAACAATAATGATAACATGTTCTACACCTAAACAACATTACAACAACAAAAAAAACCTAGAGAATGGGGATCATCTGAGAAACCCCGTAACATGTACAAATACACGGTTATCATCATGCACGTAGATCAATGAAATCTTCCTCATCAAATAATCATCCAGAGCAGATCACCTTCCATAGTTGAAAACACAGCAATCACAAAGGTGGAGCAGGAAACTCAAAGCAGCTCTAATTCCCAGTGGCAACCACAGTGAAATCCTGAATGCAAAATGCTGGCATTCCATAACGCAGATAACCCTTCCTTGGGGAAGAAATCAAACCGAAAGTCAACTTCCAATCATAGCTGTAGCCACTATCTGGAATGGTAAATGCCCAGCTTATTAAACTCATCAATATTCACAACAACCTGTGCTCTTTTACAAGCTTCAGGGGTCAGGGGATTTGATTGACACAATAGGAGGCGGTTGTAGCTCAAAGATCGACTTTCCCCCTTCTCCAAGGCTACCTATGCATATTGTATCACCCCGACCATGCCAGGTGCCATCTTGGACATTGTTCATCTCCAATGTCCTGGATTCCTGTTCACATTTCAAGAATACTATCTATAAGTTTTCAAGAATTAGAAGCTTAATCAAAATTAAGCCTTATGTCTACTTTTAACTTTTGGCAACTATCTTGTAGGCACAGGTTCCGCAAGGATAATCACCTGACATAATGCACAGCATGGGCAGATAAGATGGTAGATGCAATCATCCAAGGAACTATCACTACCCTGAAAATAATAACATTTCCCACAACAATGTTAGTGTAATTCAAGTATAACCATGAAAGATAACCAACAGAAGGCATAAGTTAAAAGATTGTGAAAACTTTATCGCAATCATATCATAAATACCAGGAAGGTACGTAATTAGTAGATTCACTTGGAACTATCTTCTTTCCTAAGAATGCATGGACTCATAACATTACACTTGCCAATGGTCAATCATATAGCAATAGCACCCTCTCTACAATAATAGAAAATGCAATCCCTCTACCCAAACACACCCAAATTTTCTCTATTTTTCTATAGCATGTAGCTTTTGCACCCTTGAATAACTATTCAAGTTATAAGATTTAAACCTTATAATTGGAATTAAAAAGAGAGAGAAACCTTAATGCAGAAGAGTACAGGATTAAAAATATGAACAGACAACATGAGGCAAATACTAACATTAGACGAAGAAAAGAAAACTACTGATTCACGGTAAACCAAAAATTATCAGTTAGTAAGGAACCACACACGATGACGGACAAAGAAAGAAAGCTTACCCTGATGTTAAATTTCTTTTTCATCTGTGTACGGAAGTACCCCAAATATGTTCCTAGTGAAATGGTGAAAGCAACCGCCAAATATATAAAGCACTGCTTCTTGGTAACAATGAAGGCAACGCAGTTGAGAATGACAAGAACAGCAAGAATCAAATGAAGAGTTCCCTGCAAAATAATATCCCGAAATTCAGAATCTACCTAAAACAGCCTTGATTGTGGGGGAAAAAACAATCTTAGAATCAAAACGATGTGAAAAGATAGAACATTTTCAATTTCTCACTTCCATAGCTAACATTTTGACTTTTGCGCACTTGACCAAAAGATAAAAAGAGAAGAAAAAGATGATAAACCTGCAACGAACAAGGACCAAAACCAGCTCGACTCATGTTCTTCCCAAATCTATAGCAAGGGCAACTGCAACATCAAAATATGCGGCGAACATAAGTAAAAGATTAGTCCAACAACGAGTAAACAAGAAATTCCCATTCTGAAGATAAAAATAAAACCGCAATGCCGTCTTCAACAGTCTAGCGACTGAGTTAAACAGCCAATGACAAAACATTGACCGATTCACATTTCTTTGACTACTTCTATAAATCAACGACAGACATAAAATATGTATCATCAGAAAAGAAACTGGACAAATAAAAATGATTCGAAAGTTAAAAAGAATAAAGGGCAAATTTTTTTGGCTCCCCAGTTATTCAATTTTTGAACCTGAATAAAATAATTCGCCTTTACACCAAAAATTAAAACTTTTTTCCCAGGGAGAAGAATTCCGGGAAACATTTTCCAGGAAGCCAAACAGAATCGCTATGAAAAAAGAACAAACTATAAATGAAAAAGAAGACGAGTGAGAGAGAGGTACGGACCAAAGGGATTCGACAGCAATACGACGGTCGTCGAGGCAATCAAGGACTTCGCCTTCCCACATCCTGAAGACGCCACCCAAATCCCCAACATCTCCATCTTCTTCTCCACCATGAAAGCTCTGCAGCTTGGCCGCCAACTTGCCTTGGGTCTGCAAAGCCACCGTTGAGCACAGCACGTCGAAATCGACCACAGACTTCCCATTTCCCTCCAAAAATCTCTCCTTTTCTTCCTCCTCCACCTTCTTGAGCACCGTCTCTTGCTTCTCCAAATCCCCCATTTCCGAACCCCAAAACCCGAAGAAGCTCAAGGGTTCCCTTCCTAGCTTCGTTTCTCTCTCTTCCCCTTCTTTTTATGCGTTTTCGCTTTTCTTTATTCAATGAATGTGATTCTGTGAAGAAATAATCAAGTTTTTATGTATTGAACAAATAAAAATATTTAAACTGTTTTTTGGTGGGGGGGGGGGGGGGGGGGGGGTTTATTTATTTGTGAATACGATTTGGGGGAAGGTGGGGAGGATGGTGACGTTTGTCTGTTGAGAGACGGGTGGGGTTTTTGTTGGCGTTTAAGCTAGTAATCGTTTATTTTCTTCTTCTTTTTTGCTTTAATTTTCATGTGGGACCGGGGCGTTTTTGTTTGATGAACGGTCCTGCTCTTGTCGTGTTTAGAAACAGAGATATTAGGAGGAGATTTAGGAACCACCACTCACTTAATCACCAAATTAACGGTCTCTCTCTCTCTCTCTCTCTCTCTCTCTCTCTCTCTCTCTCTCTTCTTTATTCTTTGATTTGTTTCTGTTTCTTTCTTTCTGCAATGTTTATTGGTATTTGTTTGGCAAGCCACCCTCATGCCATTTAATATCAACCTTCCCTACCCAAACAAACGATACCCACCATCATATTTGTCTTCATTTTACGGTGTTCAAGTCTTGTTGTGGGTGTGTGATTTGAAGAAAATAAAAACAACAGATGGTCTTAATTTAGTATTGGTTGAGAGAACAGAAACTTAATCATGCATCGAAAACAGACAGCAGCAGCGGCCGAATCAAATTGAGTTGCGGTTTAATTATAAAAAGCAACAAAGGGATAAGGGTGGAATATGGTTCAACATATTGGGGTTGGGTTGGGTTGGGTTGGGTTTGGGTGGACAACACACAAGAGTCGGAATATCAAATTGATGGGTTTCGTCATTAGTGGAGATTATAGTTTTAAGATCACAAGATTAGGATCTATCTTACTTTATTTATAAGATACAATTAAAAAAGTAATATTAAACAACAAGGAATGAGTCGAATGAGTGGCGATGGTGGGTGGGAAAAGAATCAGGACCGCGTAGCCTCAGGTGCCAGTGAGCTGCCCCTAGCTAGCCAGCGCCCACGGGAACCTGAGCTGTATCCCACGTTATTTCATGGCTAATCCCCATGATTAATTAAATTGATCGTTTTTGAGAGTTGAAGTAATAATTAGTAATTAAATCAATTAATTAAAATCCTGTTGCATTGTACCATATGATTAAATTATTTATACGTGATAACAACAGGAGATATCTCGTGCGTGGGGACCGCTAGTGCTGGCTCATGGCTGTATGGATTTAGTTTTAGATAAGCATGAGCTTCTGATTTGTAATTTCTCAAGCTTAACGCTCAACCACCCCACGTGCAAAAAGCTTTGCCTAAAAATGTCAGCATTCCATTCCCAGACATGGGTGTGGGGCCCCTACTGTCAAAGTTTGGGCACAATGGCTTGTGAAGTGGGCCACTCATTTAGCAACATCAATAAAGTCATTATCTAGAACCAATTTAGCACAGCCCATGTTTAATTGCTCATTAACCAAAGTGCAGAATCATAAAACATGTTCAAGCAATGCATAGACACACAACTCAACTTACAGATAAAAGATGCCCCAATGTTGCTGCATATAAATAACATTGAAAGCCACAACAAAAGAGATCCAAAAAAGGATGGAGAACTTGGTGTTAAAGTCACCAAACCCTAAAATTTCAGAGGTCAAGTCTTCACTGCGGGTCTAACCAACCCTAATCCCGAGCCACTCCCCAAATGCTTGAAGTCTTTTGCTTCAAGATTATCTCCATGGCCAGCAAAGCCTGTTCCACCTTTTGCCAAGTTCACCAAATGCCTTTCTTTACATCCCTTGTCGCAAACAAGGCAAACCTTATCTACAGCCATGAACTTATCAGCACATTTCTTACAAAAGACGTGCCCGCATGAACTAAGAGCCACAAGCGACATCGTGTTGGTCAAAGTAACCTTGCAGCTGGGACAGATAAATGTCTTATCCAGAGATGAAGATTTCTTCTCCTCACTACTGTCTTCTGTGTAATAAACAGGGAAAAGGGACTTCAGCTTTAGTTTCTCGCTTCCTTCTGGACAGACTGTGCTTGTAGAAGGAGCATCTACTTTAGCAGGAGCTGCAGGTGTAGCGGAAGGCAGCCAAAATGCTTTCATTGTCCGAAGCGCCTCTTCTTCATAAGAGGTGACCTTAACACTATTGGCACCATGGAAACCAGTCTTATCTCGGCTCTGGTTTCTATCATTGTATTGCGGTAGTGCACCATGGTTTTGCTGATCAAAAGCCTCGAGCTCTCTAGCTTTCTGCTGCAGTAACTTCTCTTCTTCCTCTTGGTTCTCTTGCTTCTGCTGAGCAGTATGTGCAGCTTGCTTTCTGCCAAGTGGAAGAAACAACCTCTTAAGCACAAACCACACAAAGGATAGAATTTATTATATATAACAAACCCAGGAGACATTTTACTCAAGAGCCAGTGAAAATAAATACAGCCAAAAGGCATCAAGCTCGGCCAAGCTCACAGCTTTCATAGGAAGCCTTGAGGAACCCATAACACAAACATGGACCACGCAACTACAAAAACTAACAACCAGCAACCATGTTTGGCTTCTATAAGCACACTTAAATGCATGTCAGTTTTAAAGTTACCAATTGGTTTCCCTATGGAAGTACATATATTAGGCTCCATGGAATTGCACTACATGCATAAACCATATTCCTCAGTAACAGATAATCTCATTCAGTAATAAAACTATAAAACTACATTAGCCTAGTCGAATAGGGTTTGAATACCATTTATTAGGCTTTATATTCCAAAACCATGTTAGTAGCTGAGCCAAAATGATTAACCAATCACACAAAGAAAAGCTACAGAATTATGTTAGTTAAGATGCAAATTCAAGGAAAAATAACTACATAAAAAATGCATTTCTTTTCCTATCTTTCACTTTTGCCATTAACATAGAACATACTTCTGAAATTCTTTCATCCCATAGAAGAAAACCCACATTTAAGTTGTAATCAACAGTAACATACTACACAGAAAACCGGAACCCAATTCAAATGAGATACTACTATGGCAACCTCCAAGAGGGTCCTAGGTAGCTGAAAAAGCTAGCTCCTTTATGAAGGAAGGTGACAAAACAAATATAAATGGCATTGAAATTATGATTACCAAGCAAAATCCCACTTTCAAATTTTTGATCCAATGCAGAATGGGGCTTCTCAAACGATCTTAGGAGTGTCAATAGTGTTCTCTACGAGAGTTGGTTTATTGGGCCAATTAAGTACTTTCTACTTTATTAAAGGTGGAAGCTTTCGGGTACACAGTGATATTCATGTCATCCAAAAACCAAACCCTATTTTCGAAGAGCTCCCACCTCTATTGGACCCTATCTTCTACTCATAAGCTCTTTGTCAAATACAGAAATTCAATGCATCAAAGCCAAATTCACAGAGAAAGAGAATAAATAAAATAAAACTAGACAATATTAATAACAAAAAAATTGGTGAAAATTGGAGGTTTGAGATAGAGAGAGGCGACGTACCTCTGGATATCTTTCTTCTGAGAAAGCAAGCACTCGAAAATGCATTCTTTACAAAATACGTGGCCTTTCTGGCAGCACATGGGGTTAATGAAGTGCTTTAAGCAGAGGCAACAAGCGTCGAAAGGCTTGATGGAGTCCCTGCCCAGCCTCTCCTTCTGCGTTCCATAGCCTAGCTTTTTCTTCTCATCGTAGGTGAAGAAAGCGAGGTCGTTGTTGTTCTTTGAGTGCCTCTGAGGCATATTTTCTCAGAGACGATTGAAACGAATTTGGTACGCTCGTCTGGTCTTGGATTGGGATTCGATTTGGGGATTTGGGAATTTGGGAAGAGAGATACAGAAGCAGCCCTAAATATATTTGAGGTGCCTGAACCCGATTTTGATTTGGATTAGGAATTTTATTACCACCGCCATATTAAACGACATGCCGCGGGAACTACAACGACAACATGCTGACCCCAATTCCTTTTTTTCTTAACCATTGCACTAATACCTTTTGAATTATACACTTCGTGTTACAATTTACCACACGAAAAAAATTTGGAGTCAATTTATAATTTAACGTTGCATCTATGGTTAAGTTACAGATTTATCAGTTTTTTTTTGTTTTTTTTATTTTATAATTACAAGCGATAATCTAAACTAGAGGGAGGGTTTCTCACACACACATTACTATGATGACATGAAGTTCAAATATGAGACTATTAATCTACAAGTCAATGCTCTTTTTCACTAGGTTAGATCCCATCAGATCTTCGATGTTCTTCGGCTTTTGGTGGATCTATGTCAATCTACTCTTGTTTTGGTAGATCTATTGTCTCAAATTTAGGTTGGCTTTGGTTGTGCTTTATCTTGCGAGACTTCTCTTTGAGGTGTTACGACTTGGTCATGGTAGATCCACTACTCATTGGTGCATTGATGTCCAAGAATAATTATGTGGTGCTCTCTATGTCATACTCCAAAAGAAGATTAGCTGTGATTGATTTTCCTTTAGTGGAGGTTGTTTTAGTTTTTTGATTATTTGGTTGAGTTTGTTCAATAAAGTTTAGAAACTCTATGAGTTTCATGTGTTTTTTACTCTCATAATTCTAGAAAAACTTAGTTGAGTTTGTTGGGTGTTCTTAGTCTCTTTAAGAGAGTCATGTTGGTTAGTGGCTAGTTTTTGTCTTTGATGTCATTGAATTGGACTAGGAAAGATTATGACAGTTAAAAAGGGTTTTAGAGAAGTTATTTTCGAATGTGATTCTCTCCATATTATTTCAGCTTTTCGGCAGATTGAGGAAGTTTTACCTATAATTTCTATATTATTATTGAAATGGCTCCCTTATGTATCTTAGTAGTATTTATTCTTATAAATCTAATAAAATTCTATTGCCTTCTTATAATAAAATAAATATTGAAATTACAGTATTTACAGAGCAAAGTAACCAAATATAGAAGGATAAAATAAAATATTAATTAGCTTTCTCTTCTATTTTAAGAAGCCTTGGAGATTGACTCAAACAAACACATGTGACCTTGTGACCTTGACGGTGTTTACTGAGAAAGTACTGGTAACCCCTTCATTTGTTTCTTCTTCTCTTTGCCATCTTCTTCTTCAATATCAATCAATCCATGGCTTCTCCGAGGAAGAGCCCACTTAAAGAACCAGGAGATCGTCAGTCAGCGGCAATCGTAGTCCAACCATCGTCCCCACGTTACCCTCCGAGTGGGACCCCCACCTCCGGGGCCCAGCGCCGAATCGGGATCGCCGTCGATCTCAGCGACGAGAGCGCCTTCGCCGTCAAATGGGCCGTCCAGAATTACCTCCGCCCCGGCGATGCCGTCATCCTCCTCCACGTCCGCCCCACCAGCGTCCTCTACGGTGCTGACTGGGGCGCCACCGATGTCTCCATCCCTGAAGACCAAGAGTCTCAGCAGAAGCTCGAGGACGATTTCGACAATTTCACCGTCACCAAGGCCAACGACCTCGCCAAGCCTCTGGAAGAGGCTAAGACTCCGTACAAGATCCACATAGTGAAGGACCACGACATGAAGGAGAGGTTGTGCTTGGAGGTCGAGAGGCTCGGCCTCAGCGCCGTCGTTATGGGCAGCCGGGGCTTCGGCGCTTCGAAGACGACCTCCAAGGCCAGGCTCGGCAGTGTCAGTGACTACTGTGTGCATCACTGCGTCTGTCCTGTCATCGTCGTAAGGTTCTCCGATGAAAAGGACGAAAACGACGTCGCAAAGCAAGGTAAATTTGGCTGTCCGGTCGTGCGTGAGGAAGAGCCGGAGTTCCATGACGCTTTGGAGAAAGGTTGAATCTCTATCTCTCTGCAGTTTTTCCTTTGATTTCTCAGCTCCATTTCATTTTTCCTCTTTCTAATTCTTAATTTATTAAAATGCATAGAATATTAACTCTGCTTCTGTTAAATTCTTGGTTGCTTGTTTTTTTTTTTTTTTTTTTTTTTTTTTTTTTTTTTTTTTTTGTGGAAATTCCTCAAAATAAATACAGTTTAATAGTTAGTATTCAGATCAATAATTATGCATTGGATTCAGAATCCATGTGTTTGGAGATTATTGTCAGTTTTTCTTTGTTTAGTTTTAACTAAAATTGGATTGATGTCTGGTTTAAGATTCGTGCTTAAAAAGTAGCTTTGTTAGTAGTATACTTCATTTGCCATATGATTGTAAATGACGAGATTAAGAGATAGCATTCAGGTCATTCTTGCAGAGAAGGTATACCATTTGCTTCCCTCACCTTCTTTTCCACCTGGGTATGTTTTCTGGAAATATGCTCTAGTATGTTAAAGTTTTTGCTTTCTTATTTTTTTTTTACTCATGTGTTCCAATTCTTTAATGCTCTATCTAAGCCACTGCAATCTAAATCAAAATGTTGACAGAGTTGTATGTTTCCTTTCTTTTGATCTTTTGTGCCAAAAACACTGCATTCAAGAACGAGATACGTCATTCAAGCCTTATATTTTGCGTCTGGTTAGTTAGACGGTTTCTCTTTTTTTGTCACCTCTTCTGAAGTAACGTATTACTATTTGTTTGTTACCTAATACACGTAAGCAGATGTTTTTCTGTTTTCTCCTGGTGATAAGTTGATGTAGCTAAACACCTGGGTTGATGGGTGGCGGGTGGTGATCCACTTGCTTGTCTCCTTTCATTCTTTTCCTCCTCATTAAATGCAATCCTCAAATCATGGATTCTTCATATACATTCATATTTAGATTTTGAGACTAATTCAGCATCAATGCATTTGATTTCTAAGAACCAAATATAACAATTAGGTGTTGGCATTTCAATTTCTTTCATTTACTTTGATAGTGTGTAAAATATAAATTGCGGGAATGCTTAGGACTTCTCTAGTATTCCATCTATATTCTTAGAGGTTTATTTTTTCCTTGGTTTAATGAAAAGAAGTCCTTTTATTAGGAAAAGTTATAATGGTGGAATTTTGATTCCCATGTTGAATTATGTTCGTCACGCAGGAGGTTCTTTCAAGCACTTATAAATGTTTTCTCTTGGCATCAATGTGTGATTTTTTCCTTTTTCCATTGATCTTTTGAATGTAAATGTTGGTTGCACAAAAAGTAGTTTTGATCGTGCTTATAACTAGCGTTTTTGCCACCAACATTTCCCACTATCAAGATACCGGGAAGAAAGGAAAAAAAAACTTGTGTATTAATAGGAGCAACCAATGGTGTGAATAGTAGCAGCCTTGCTAGTGCTCCATGTCTACAATGAGGACATCTACTACCAGTAGATACATTTTTGTTTAACGGTCCTAAGGCAAATAGAAATGGCAGATTGAAACTACTATATGTGCTGTTGCATGGCGGGTATACATTGCACTAGACCTGTCTTATGAGAGGAGAATTTTGTTTCAATTCATTTGTGCTGTTGTGTGGGTGGTATCCATTGTACGTCGGAAACCTGTTTTATAGAAGTTTGTTCTGCTAGAAACTAACGATTCAAGAACACTGAACAAGGGGTTGATGGTGATTAGGTAAGTGTTTAATGAGTGATTGAATCTTACCTGGCGCATTGTATGCGTGGTGTTATGACTAGCCCATTGAACCCAAAATGCAGCTATGAATAGCCTATGATTATAATGGATAATCATCTTGTAAGGGCTGAAATCAAATGCTTACTTGTAGAGTTCCTCCTCAAGAAAGGAGGACCTAGAGGGCATGGGTAGGGTATTTAAGTAAATAAGTTCATCTGGTTAGGTTAGGTTAGGTCTTTTGGAATAGCTTTTCTATGATTTTATCTTCCACAAATCATCATTAGAGGTGCTGAATTTCTCTCTATCAATGATTCAGTTGAAAATTCACACTGAATTTCATGGCTTGCAGATTCAGACAAGGCGTGTTGAACAGATGGAGATGGTGAAGAGCTTTCAGATGATGTTTATCAAATACTCCTGGTTCGTATGTAATCATGTTGTATGAAAAAGTGTGGCGGTAGTAGTACCGAGTCTGTCTCAGTCTTTTCTTTTTGGTTTGTGGCATTATTGACTGAATGTCCGAATCTGCTCATCTTTTGTTTTAACCACCTTTTCACTGCCTTGCATGTTTATGGAGCTCCGGGATGATGAATAATGCATGATTTCTATCTTATTCTTCCTTTTTAGTATTTTGAACATACAACTTACAAGACTGCACTTCTTCCTCTTCGAGATTCATAACATTTGTAGGCAAAAAAAAATAAAAATACTGCTGCTTCTAAATTGTTTGGGGATTCATAAAACCCAACCAACCGAAGACCCCAAATTACCTTTTATGAAGCCCTAAAGGCCCAAACCAACCCAATTCAGTGTGTCTGTCAGTGTGTCCGGACTCCGAGATCTGTATCTATTTTGATTTGGAAATTGGAGCTCTTTGATTAGATTATTGATTATATAGCTAGGAGCAAGGATTAAAATATCGGCCGTGCGGATAATATTGGGCCTCTAATTTCGGATATTTCGGGGGATATATCGTTATCGTTTTAGATATTGGGAAAAAATTAACAAAAATGACAGATATAGGCATTGAAACATATAATTTTGGCGTCAAACTTCATAGATGTTATGTACATTATCAATGAATGTATTGAACCAATAAATGTACTAATAGTAAGATATATATATATATATATATATGAGATGAAATATAAGTGGTATGTAATGCTCGTTAATGAAAAGTTTGAAAATAAAATGTTAATTAGAATGAATAAACCATGCATAAATCCATAGTTTGTTTAAACATTGGATTACAATTTAGATAAATGTCCATCTACATAAATGAAGAGCTCCTATGAGGTTCAAATAATGAGGAACAATTATCTAAATTCATACAATAGTCATACCAAGTCATGTAACCTGAGTAGTTTGTAAGTCATGTTTGAACATGGTGCACATAAGTCTCTCTTAAGCTCCCTACTGACCTCCCATATATGGGATAGTTATGATTAACCAACTAATAGGTCCGTAATCTATTTTATCATTTTGAGCTCTATAACTAGTTCCACTATAATCAGACATGACATAATCATAGCCATCATAAGATTCATTTGAGTTAGTACTAGGTCTAGTCCCTTCATAGATCCAAAACTGATCGCCATGTCCTCTTTAGGTGGATTAGAGGTATGTGGGCAGTGGACTATGCATAGATTCTTCATATTAATAAATTATAGGGTTATGGGCAAGGATTAACTATTTTGGGTTTTATTATTTGCTTCAAAAAAAAACTAACTTTCTTTTTTTTTTTTTTTTTTTTTTTTTTTTTGGTTTTGGTCTGTTATGTGGGTAAGGGATATCAGGGAAATATCGGGCAAAATATCAGGAAAAATATCGATATTATATGTGGGGATATTATGGTCGATACATGGGAAGATATGACCTTACCCCCTAATATCGATGTCGACAGTTGAAAATACCGATATATCGTATCGGCCGATATTTCAATCCTTGGCTAGGAGCACCTTTTTTGTGATTGTTGAAATGGAAAAAAGTGTTTGAGTGAAACAAGGTCTAAAATATCGATAGTATCGAAAATATTGGTAGTCTAAAAATACGGAAATTTCAATGGAAATATTGAGATATTATCAATATCAATAAAAACCATGGAAATTATAAGAAAAGCTTAGAAATTTTTATTGAAATTTTGGAGAATGTTTATTTAGTCAATTATCTATTAGTTTATCACAAAAAATTAGAAGGAAATGCATTGCATTATGAGTTTAATTGATTTAAATTGATTATATAGCGAGCTAATAAACACTGTGAGTGTAGAAAATATATAGTAATTAATGAAAGAAGATTAAACACACTATACTTATTTATATATAATGATTTACTATAATATTTTACACTTTATACATTGCATGTTAAGATGCATGAGTGACTTGAATTATTGATTATATGAGCACGTTTTTTGTGATTGTTAAAATGGAAAAAGTGTTTTGAGTGAAATAAATAATTGGTACATAAATTCAAAAGTGGTGGGCTACCAGCTAGCTGTTAGTCTTAATAAAATTCATCAAAGCCAATGGTCTTTGCTCTGATAGCATCTTCTCTGTTTAATAATGACTTAATTAGTGTGAATCAGATCTCGGATTAGATTTAACCTTAATCAGTCAGTCTGTACCAGCATTTTAGTGTGTATTTTTCTTCTTTGAAGAGGTAAAAACAGAGGGAAAAAAAGAAAGCATGTGTGAAGAATCCATGATAGAGGATTTGGTCCCTGTTGTCAAGATTTCATTGTCTCGGCAAATCCAAAGCGCAAAAGAACGACGTCACTTTGGTGATGTAAGTAAAGGACGGAAGAAGGGCAGAATATTTATTTTCCATATAAAGGCCTACGTAAGAAGTGGCCACCATTGCAAGTTACATAAATAGGAAGGAATAACTCGTTCTGTGGCGGAGAAATACTTCTCTATTCCCGTTGAGGATCGTGGTTGTCACGACGTATGCACACGCAGACGAAAATGGTGAACAGCTTAAGTAATACAGAATCCAAAGGGCAATCAATCAAAAACACAGACGGACCCAAATTATCTCACATCTCCAGGTGTTAGAAATCTTCAATTGTATCCACCACAGCCACAGAATAAAACTTGTCTCCCTCTACAAGCAACAATTTCCCACCACAAACAAAACCCTCAAGGCCTAGGCTGACTAGCTCCCCTCCCCTTCCTCTTTGATTCCTTGTTTCTTTCTTTCATATTTTAATATTAGTTTATTAGTAGCTTAGCTTTCATAATAAATCACTAATCAAGTTGCTAATAAAAAAATACTCTTTGCTAATTCATGAATTATGGCAGGCACGTGGACATGTTTCATGCTTGGACCCCACCTCCCATTCTCTAGAGCTATATATTCTACTAGTAATACTAATTACACATTACAAAAGCAATTTTCTATGCTTCTCTCAATCTGGTAACAACCTGCTCAGACCAAACCTCCCCAATATAATAACAAAAAGTCTACGAAATTACTCATCCGATTTAGAATTAAGGGATGTTTTAATTTAATAGTAGCATCCCCTAATTCCCCTATGTGTTGTTGAGTGTTTAACAACTAAATTTGACTAGAAAAATAACCTTTGATCTGACACTGAGCCAACGTAAACCTAAATAGGGAGACCTTTTTTATTATATCTTGCGTTATGTGCGCGGCTAAAGCGAACCATTTGGTCTACTCGTACGGTCAAATCATATTCTACTTTTTTGCTTCCAAGATGCTGGAAAATTATTATGGCAGAGAGAGAGAGAGAGAGGGAGAGAGCTTCAAAAACAGGGGACTGGAAAAAACTTGTGGCTCAGACTTTTTGCTAGGTGGAGGAAAAATGGAGTTTTGCTACTTGCAGAAACTTCGTGCAAACATAAAGTACAGAAAAAAACAGAGAATAATATTGGGTTTATACAGCACAATTTGCTTACATTACAAGAGTAATGGTGAGACTTGTGAGGATCCAATTGAAATCTGAAGTCACAAAACTCACAATGGCCTTAAAGATGAGAAAATTCACCTGAAACTGTGTCTCTTAATCTTTAAAGCCTTCATTAACAGCTAGATTTGCAGAAACCAATGATGGTCTTAAACTTGTTCTTGCCTTGACTTTTTTTTTCCTTCTTGAAATCGGTTTCACTTCAACATTGCTTGATCTAGTCATCTGGGTTCTCTTCGGGTCCTTTTGTCCCAATTGAGGCCCTCGTTGTTCTGCTTTTGAAAAGTTGTTCTGTTTAGGTGAGGCTAAGAGCAAAGCCATAAAAATAGTAGCAAGGTTAATTTAAGTGAAGAACTAAAATACCTGAAAATTCGAGTGTGAATTGCAGGAGCGCAAGCGCTTACATGAAAATGCTGTTGTTGATTTGGAGAGGCTCTCACTGAAACATTCTTCACTGCTACTTAAAGAACTTGATGAGACTGGTGGAGGAGACCATGGAACAACTTGATTTTCTTCATCATCATCATCATTCCGATCCCCATCATCATCATCACCATCATCTTCTTCTTCAGGGTTATTTTCTCCATCATCTCTATCATCATGATCATGGTCATGATCATCATCTTCTTCTTGTTCATCATTTTCTTCATTTCTGGGTTCCTGGTTAGAAGTATGAATGCATTTCTCACAAACCGAAACTGTAGGGCCGAGGTTGAGTCCGGAGCCAGTCCAGGGGGTTGGAGATTGACAGACATGGCAAAGCAGAGTCCTTGAATGCTTAGCCACCAGGAAGTTTGCAGCATGAACCTTGATGTCACACTCCCAACACAGGCTAGCCTGATCTGATTCACAATACATCTTTGCTGCAGAATCACAAAGCTCACACTTCTTCTTCATCTCTCTCTCTCTCTCTCTCTGTGCCAAGACAAGTCAATCCCTCTTAGTTTTGATTCCTTAACCACATCTTACTTCTGTTCTTTGTTGTTAATCCCCTGGGTGTATATAGAAGGGAAGAACCTGAAAACACATGGTGCAGGGCAACTTGCACCTATTTATACTCAAAACCAGCCCCCTGTTTTCTTTCTTTCTTTCCTTCATTTTTTTTTCAAAGACGGAATTTTTATTTCCCTTCTGAGCTGGGAGAGAATAAAGATACACCAATCACTCTGGCTCCTTGAGTTTATGGGGCAACTTGATTGGCAGAAGAAATACAGATAAAAGTTACTTTGGGTGAGCATTGACGTACTTATGGATAACTATTCTTACAAACATACTTATCCCATCATAGAAAAAGAAAAATTAAAAAAAGACCACAAAACAATTCATTCAGAACACCATTGATTTTGGGAAGAAAAAAGAAAAAAAGATGTGACAACTGGATGTGATATCACTGGTGTTGATATTGTTGTGTATTATTTGTACACATTTGTTTGAATAAGAATCACAAGACTTTTAGCACAATATGGAAGGAAATAGAGTAAAAACTTTGTACGCAGAGGCTTCACCAAACAAGTTTTTTTCTTTGTTTGATAAGGAGAAAGTTCTAAAATTACTCTAATATATGAGGAGGAATTCAAACTCGAGTGTAACGAGGAACATACATTATCTTGATCAAGTGGCTTAATTCACATTTACACTGTAGAAGTTTAATTAAGGATTACAATTAGGTGCACTGAGTCAGCACTCTTGCCCCCTCAACATGACCTAGAAATTTGACACATCGGATGGCACCAACCAATGCCATGCAATGGATTTAATGGATTTTTGGGGTGGGGTAAGTAGAAGAGACCAGAGGTCCACCCATCGGCCCCGTTTCAAGCAATTTGTGGTTGGTCATGCATGCACTCAGTGCTCTCTGAATTTAGACACCCAAATGGATGCAAGATAAGCTACTTTTGCCCTTACATCTTTGTCCCTCAGATTTAAATATCTCACACAATTCTGCTAACAATAACAACAATTGTTGTACTTGCATATGTAGACAGATGGACAGGTGTCTAAATTGCAGTGAACACTAAATTATGGGGACTCACTTGAACTCTTTGGGAAAAAAATTCTTCAGGGTAGTTGTAGTGATTTAATTGGGGGTTTTTTTTTTGGTGAAATGATTTAATTGGAATTTAGAGGTTGCTGGAAATGGGGGGGTTTTTTTTTCATTAGAAGAAATTCAATCACGTTGCATTCTAAAATGAGGTTTAGTGGGTTGGGGAAGTCACTGTGGTAGTTGGTATCTTCATGGCAAGGTGTTCGATTTGCTCTGCATATGAGATATGTGTCACCATTGGATGGTGGTTTAAAAATCTCAAAATTAAACTCAATTTGCCTCTTTCTTTAGCAATTTGGTAACCAAATATAACTTGTTATTGAAGGAAAAGAAAGTTGATTTTGATTACTTGCAAATGCCAATGAAGCAGGAGTAGCTGTGGGTCTTCCTTCCGAGAAAAAATAAAGGAAAAGAAGAAAGAAAAACCTGTGGCATGTGTGTGGGTTGGTGTCCATTTCCATTGAACTTCAAATTGTGATGAGTAGCTAGATCAATTAAGATATATATTATGGGACCAATCTCTCGCAAGCAAAAAGACATACACATATGTGGCTGAGGTTTTTGGCAGTACAGATTCAAATGGAACGAATCAAATTATTGATGATCACATTTGTCGACTTTCTCCTTTGTTGCTTGGGTCATGAAATAGATACACCTAGGGTTCACATGTTGTACCGCAATATCAAAAAACCGATTGAACTGACCAACATTTTACCACAAACCGGCCGACAAGTCACGAAAACTAACCGACACCTCCGATTGTCAATGCAGTTTCCCAAATCCAATCTTGACGGTATGCCAAACTGACCGACATATATTTAATTAATTCATTATAATTATTTTGTATAACTCTCTCATTTCTCACACTCTCATACTTTCTCCCTCACTCACTCTCTCGTCTCTCTCCTCGCCATTCGGCTGAAACACACAAATCCAAAAAAATATGTGGGCTTCAATCTCGCCTCACTTCTCTCTCATTAGTCTCAATATATCTCTCTCTCTATGAATCATAGATGAGCTCATTAGGTAAACTTTTTTAGGTTTTGATTGGGAATATTTAGAGTTTCAAATTGGGAATATCTAGGGTTTCAATTGGTTTAAATGATGCAATTGAATTGGGGTTCGAAATTAGGGATTCAAATTTCACAGGGGATTTTTGCTGATTTCTCAGCCTAATTCGGAGTTGGCGGTATTTGGTGATACCGACAGCATTTTTAGTCTGACCGAGTTACGGTTAACACACCTCTCCGACCTCTATCAGGCCAAGACCGGTCCAAATATAGTCATACAGCAAATTGTTGGTCGGTTTATGATTCCCGAACCGAGACTAGCCCTAGAGACACCCAAGAATTTCCCCATTTTGGGCTTAGGTGGATTGGGCTCCCAATTGGCTAGTTCCATCTAGGCCCATGATTTCAGAGAAGTCATGCACAAACCTGGATTGGATTTGGTGAGGCCAATACTGTGATCCATGATAAGCCTAGGACCCAACTTTAGTTTAGGCCCAGATTTCTATAAGATCTTAATCTTTTTTTTTTTTTTTTTTTTTTTTTTTTTTTTTTTATCTTCTGAAACATTCCCCTTCCCTAATTTCAAGGCCAACAGTATTGCATGATCATATATGCTTGCCTATCCAAATTCAGTGAAAAAATGATCCAAAGGAAAAAAAAAATCTGGGGAAAAGAAAAGAAGGCAATAAACAATATAAAGAAGAAGACTCTCTCATAATTATTATAAGCTACCTGAAATTGCAAAGTAGGATGGTTATGGAGATAGAAAGATAACCAAGAAGAAGAAAGAACTTGAAAGAAAATGAAATTCCCACATTAAGAGAGAGAGAGAGACTACATTTCACTATCTAAATCTAAAGCTTCCACCAATAATTCCTTAGAAGTTTGCATCATGGCAGGGCTCAATCTGAACATGAGGGTACAAAACTCCATCTCATTCAAACTCCCATCACCATCCAAATCACCTTCCCTCAGCATGCACATGATCTCCTCATCACTCATGCCTTCCAACCCCAACAGGCCTGAGTTCCTCTTCAAGCTCTCGAATGTGATCACGCCCTTCTCTCTGTCCATCAATAACCGGAACCCATTGCAGAGCTCCTTCATGAAACCTTCTGCTCCCAATTTGTCAACCATGGCTGGAAAGAAATCTTCAAACACGACCCCATTTCGACAAGCCATTGATTTTTCAATATGGGAAAATGAAAGAACTCAAAGCAATTATATAAAATTTAAGGGCTGCTAGCTAGCTAGCTTTACGTGTATTTTTTATGTGAGGGATGGAGTAGTACTGTGGAAAAGTGACCAGATGAGATGGGGATTTATAAGTTGTAGAATTAGGTGAGGGGAAAATATGAGGAAGATTTCGAGGAAAGAGGGTGGCTGTGGATGACAACAAAGGTAGAGTACAGATAAGAGAGAATTTATGTTTGTTGCCGGCATGATCGAAATTTGCTCTGTTTCTTTTTCTGAGCAGAGACTTCTCTTTCCTCGAAATTACATGGGAAGGTCCAGAAAGCAGAGAGGGTCAGCAGTCATGGCAAGCAATGTAGCATTTTCCTATGACAACATGAAACTTGGCTTGGCAGCTTTGTTGGCATACATTGTACATGGGGCTCTCTCCAAATCAGCATGTATCCACATCCAACATCTGACAGCTAGCAGACACACAGGAGAGGGTTTTGCCACGTTATTTAGTTAAGTTGTTAGGATGGAAATTCATAAGGATATTATAATAAAGGAGGAATTAACAAAGAAAGAGTTTCTTTACCAATATTGATTATTATTATTATTGTTATTAAGATTATTAATCCTCGAAATTGTTTATCTAAGGAATTTAAATTGAGAAACGGCTTTAGTTTGTGTCAAAATTGACCATTAAATTAATGTATTGTTTCTCGTTTATTGCTCAAATTAAGTCCTGTCAAATTAAAAAAGAAAAAAAGAAAAGAAAAAGGAATAACATAATTAAGCCAAAAATAAAGATGAAAAATGATATAAGACCTAATATAAATGCGACTCATTGTTGTGTGATAAGTCTCAAATATGCGTAGACTTTAAACCCGATGCATGATCTTTAAGGAGAAAAAAAGTACTATGCTACTTGAATTTGAAACCCCACAAGAGTGCTTTAGTTTCCTTCTAAGTAATTCTTTTCCCATCCAAAGTCCAGAAATGATTCAAAAGCATCTGATTCCGTCCATATGTATAAATCTTTAAAAATAATGAACTTATATATCATTTACGTTCAAGAATTCTATAGTGAGGCCTTATCTCTCTTAATCGTTGGATCAAACTTGTTAACTGTTGGATAAAATTAGTTTGTTTGATTCAACGGTCAAGAGATAGGGCCTCATCTAAGAGCCTTATACTACAGAATATATGACTCCATGTATGTTAAACTAGATTAAAATTGACTAATTCAACACGAAAGCTCCAAGTATTAATTATTCCTATGGACTGAGACCCTATTCCTAGGTGCTAATCAAAGTAAATGATCCTAGCAAGGAAGTTGTTAATTTTGGTAAATTAAATGGGATTTTCCTTATTATGTATAGCTTACCTGCCAAAGAAGAAACTATTGATATGCAAAAGTCCACTTGGAATCTCCCCAAGATGAAATGGCAATAATGGACAGTGGAAAATGCATATGTCATTATTGCTTTGAATTATGTTCCTTAATGAGAGGTGTTATGCTTGCTATACGTACCTTCCAAATGGGAAAATGGGTGTTATGCTTGCTATACGTACCTTCCAAATGGGAAAATGAGAGGCAGCATACCTACAAAATTAAGTTCAGCCCTACAACTATGAGTCCATTCAAATTAAGAGTCGTACATAATGGACAGCGATGGGTAAATTTTAGCGTCGAGTAATTATTTTGTAACCCTTCCTGTAATTAGTCTGTAACAACTCCCTGGTATATAATTATTATAAGCAAACCTCAATCTTCTTAAAGAACAGAAAAGCAAAACATTAAGTTAAAGAGAGAGAGCTATACGTGTAGTAAAGAAGAAGAATAATTTTGATAATAATAAGCTCCAATTACAGATGATCATAGATCATAGCCAGAAGGAAAAAAAGTATACATGCATGCCCTAGAACAACAAACTAAGAGATCAGTGTAGCTATGCCTAACTAGAACTCAAAAGCAAGAGCTTCCTCCATCAAGTCTTTAGACGTTTGCATCAAAGCAGGGCTCAACCTAAACATGAGAGTACAAAACTCCATCTCATTCAAACTCCCATCACCATCCAGATCACCTTCTCTCAGCATGCACCTCAAGTCTTCATCACTCATGTCCTGCAACCCCAGCAATGCAGAGTTTCTCTTCAAGCTCTCGAATGTGATCATACCTTTCGCTCCGTCCATTAACAACCGAAACCCGTTGCACAGCTCCTTCATGAACCCTTCTGCTCCCAACCTCTCCACCATGACTGGAAAGAAGTCTTCAAACACGACTCCACCACCTAACGCCATTAACTATATTAAATTCTGAACGTGTATATACAGAAAGGTGGTGAGCATTGTGAGGGGTGTTATGTGTATATATACACATGAGGGAGTGGAGTCACAAAAGGAGGGAGAAATATGAAGGTGATGAGGAAAGAGTGGGCTGCGTTGATGACAAAGGTATGTACATGTTGATCAGGGATTGTCCGCGAAGGTTGTTCTTGTTGCAGCCATTTTCTCTAACTTAATTTCATGGCTTCTTCCACATATCTAGTACTTTTCCCCGAAGTTGCATGGGAAAGTAGCACCAATTTGGCATGGTCATGGCAAAGCATTTTCCTTCGAAATTAAGCGTCCTAACACAATTGCTACAGCTCTTTACAAAAATGCCCTCACTAAGAAATGAAAAGAAAGAAGAAACTTGTACAGGACAACAATGAAGTTCATTGATGACTTTATTAATTTTCTTGTTGGAAAAGAAATGAAGATTATATACTTTTTTACTTTCAAGTGTATGCCAGGTGAGAAAACAAAAGGAGCTCTAGGTTTAGGTTATCTGCATATCTAAGACCTCAGCTTGCACAAGTCTTTACGCACCAAACACACGGTTTGAATATATATATATATATATATATATATATATATATGCATGGTTGGTTCCGGTTTTGATCGTTGGTTGATCAATGTGGACTAGGTGTTCTGAGATTTCGTCACCCTTTTGAGATGGCCATCTTTGCATCTCTCCATCAATTCATCAAAGATCCTGGACGACCTGGAACGAAATGTTAATATCCCATCCCATGACGTTGTCTTCAAATTCAGCCTTGTGTCATCTAATTAACTGATTCGGGGAAGTTACTTTTGACCAGTCGTCATATGTTTCAAATCCCCAAACATATTCAAGTGCCCTACTTTATAAGGATTGTGGAAGGAAACGCATAGTTTTTTTAATTCATCTATATAGTTGACTTTTCTCAGCTTTTTCTTTCTTAATCTTATACATACATTCACCATCTCACACATATCATATTTGTTTCCCAACGAATATTGAGAATATTTTGATTGTACGTGCTAATTTTCATTGTTAATTATTGTATTTACACATACGTAGGAGTCATTCTTTTTTATAAATCAATTACAGTCTGACACATATACAAAAGTAACTTATTAAACTACAAAATAAAAAGTTTTAGTACAAATGTCATATTATGATTTGTTGCAAGAGAAATGACTTACATGTAAGGAGCCAATCATTTTCTTATGAGTGCTGCTATTTCCACTGACTGTCCTATTTATCCACCTTATCTTTCTACCCACCATGTAATTTGAAAGTACACAATTCTATCTTTACACCCATCATTATTCCTAAAATGCCCTTTAATTATTAATTCAATTAAATTCTCCAAACTTTCATTCAAAGCATGCTTCAACCCTTCAACCCTTGCCAATCAAAAACCCAACAACACTTCGAGTCATTCAACCTAAAATCATACCAAATAACAAAAAAGAAAAAGAAAAAAAAAGAATCAATTCTAGATCATTTCATTCATCAACAACAAAGGCCTCAACACCCAGGTTTGAGTTCCCCAATCAGTGAGTTTCCTTGCTATCACCACCGACTAGTAAACTACTTTGGACATGTGCAAAAATAGACAATGATTTCGGTTTATGACCTTATGCAAGCAACACATTAAAAAATGGGACATTTTAGAAAAAGCAAAAGGAGAGAGAAAAATTTTAAAAGAAGCAAAAATGGACAAAAATGCCCTTATTTATTTTTAGATTTCCTAAGGAATCCAATACATTTTTTATGTCTAAAACCTAAAAAACCTTTAAAAAATTGACTATATTGAATGGGAGAGAGGGACTCTGTAGCCCTTGCGATTGATATGGACGAGGGAGAATAGGTGGTTTTTTTTTCTAAGTCCTTAAAAGTCATTTTACGAAGGGATAAATTTGTCTTAAATTTTTAAAGATAAGTGGGTGGGAATATAAGACGGAGGGTGGAAATAATAACAGCACTTTTTTCTTATTTATACGTACCTAACAAGACTAGGAACAAGAAATATAGCACAAACATAAACTTGAATTTGCGTAGTGAACGAAAGTACGTAGTTTCGTTGATAAAGCACAAAATTACAGATAGAGATAGTACAACATAGCCTCCCAGCGAGGGAATAAAAAGAGAAAATTAAATTGCGTAGCAATTAATTGAGTACATTAGATCACTGCTCTGCTCTCTTAAAATGTTAGAGCTTCCTCCAACAATTCTTTAGAATTCTGCATCAACTCGGGACTTAACCTAAACATAAGAGTAGAAAACTCCATCTCATTCAAGCACCCATCCCCATCCAAATCGCCTTCCCTCAGCATGCACCTTAAGTCTTCATCACTCATCCCCTGCAAACCCAGCAATGCAGAGTTCCTCTTCAAGCTCTCGAATGTGATGACACCTTTCTCCCCATCCATTAACAAGCTGAACCCATTGCTCAACTCCTTCATGAACCCTTCTGTGCCTAACCTCTCCACCATTGTTGGGAAGAAATCTTCGAACACAACTCCGTTACTTCTCGACGCCATTGTCTGCTAATTATAACAAGAAGGAATTGAAACTTACTAGTTGCTAGGCTAGGAACTTAAGAACACTATTTATAGTACATACATATGCTAGACCAGAGGGGAAAATGGAAAATTTCCAAAAGGGTCGCTTTTGGTGTCAGGGAAGGTGCGGATCCTAAGAGATTTGTTTTGTCAAGACTCAAGACTCAAGGGCATTTGTTGCAGGGGCATTAATTTTGATCCGAGAGTTTTCAATGTTTGATTTGATCAGAAAGCTATCTCCTTCCTCGAAGTTGCATGGGAAGCTACTATGCCAGTACTAGCGGCTGGCATGAAAGCTGAGCTCAACTTTCGTTTGGAATGACGAAAGGGCCCGTTCTTTAATGAGGTCAATTTTTTCCATTTAAAAAAGAAAGCAACGTTTTTCTTGCTGTGATGTGAGAAAACAAATAGATCGGAAAAAAAAGAAAAGAAAAAAGAATAGTATTCTTAAAGTACACACAATATTGTGGTTTAAATCCAAAAAAAACAAAAGGGGCAAGAATCGCTCGTGATATGTGGTACGTACGTAACGTATATAAATATAATCCTTCATCATGAGAAATGCATGAATATATTTTTCAAAAGAATAAAAATGCTTATATATAATTCCATTTCTAAGTTATATTAATTATTAAAGTGTTGATAAAGTTGAAAACCCAACATTTAAAAATATTATTCTCATTGTGATGTTAGACTGTGTCTTATTGCGGAGTTAGGACGAAGGTGCAAAAGCATGGGCATATTATTGAAGGATGGTGAGATTTTTGCCTCACGCAAACGTCAATTTCTCTTCCTCTACCCTATTCTCAATGTGTGCTCAATATTTTTCTGAAACTGAGGAAATATTTGTCCATATCTATGGAAGTCATCTTATACTATTATATACATGTTAAGTTGAAAACCCTAATTTACATCATTGTGGAAAGATTTGAATCCTCGTAGTCATTCATGATATTTCCATTTATGCGTATATAAAATAGAAATATTTTAGCTCATCATGTGTCAAGTGTTGAGAAGGATAGTGATAGTATACCTTGAGTTAAAGCGGCCAAAAATATTCTTATGAATTTGGTATATAGGGAAAGTGAACCGCACTTTCCGGGGGGGCCTTGTGCCTGGATTGGAAGTTGGGAAACAATTGTCATCTTCATATCATTTCACGGTGGGTCTTGCGGCTTTTGGCTGGGTTCGAGGGCCAGGCCCATAACTCCTCCATCAAAAAACAGACAAAGAAAAAGAAAGAATGAGGAAGTTGGCTTTACCTGCAATTGTTGGAAGACTTTTCTTGGCTTTCCTCGAGTAGCAGCCACTTTCCAAGAAAATTCCCTTCTCTGTTTGGTAAATATTGTCAAGAAAGCCGATTGGTACGTGTGGATGCCGATTTAGATTTAACTCGTGCCCAAGTTGGATTCCATAAAGAAACAAATATTACTTAACCTATACTTACGTGACAATTATTGAATACGGTGTGCACAAAAGTTGAGAGTTTATGTGAGAATTACACGCACGAAATTATTTTTGTAATGGTGGAGGGTGATTTTAGTGGGAATTTTCGTGTAAGGATTTCTTCTTGTTTTTATAGGTTGCTCAAAAGGGTATGAACATATGATGATTACGTATGATATGTGGTAATCAAATGGGGGCAGCTTTCGTGCATTTGGCCGTATCATATAGTTCCAAGTTTAAAGGATTTTTTTTTTGACCAAAACAAGTTTAATGGATTTGAGTATTGATAAAAATCTGCCTTGTTATTAGAATCACTATTTTGCAGTTGTTTGAAAGTTTGCCAAGTTGACACTTCCAAATTCTGAAATACTCTCAAGCTCCAAATTCTGAAATATATTCTCACGAAGAAACTAGTGCAAATGTTAAAGGGCCTTTTTTGTTGGGTCATAAAATGTTCAAGGGGCTTTAGGAGGTTGGATATTTGAAAATGAAAATGGTGGGCTTTACTATTGGATTGAAGACAAAAGTAATAAATTTTAACATTGGGATTTTGGGGGGACTTTATTAGGGACAAGGTTCCTTCTCTGTTTGCGATTGAGAATGTAGACTACTTGGTTAGTCTGAAGATTGAACCCTTAGGTGTAGAGGACTCACCTAAATTCTAATCCCTTAGCGCATAATCGGTTTTTTAATACTTATATTTGTCCTCTTATCCATGAATTCCTATCGTTGACTGTATAGAAAACCACTGCTGCTAACAACATAAACCAAATAATGAATTAATTTGCAGTGTGTACCTTAGGCCTGCATGTTTCTTTAGCCCACTCCAAAAATAGGACCCTATGCTTATGATACTGTTTTCTTCTCTTCATATGATATTGTCCGTTTATATATTTCCAATTTCGAGTCAAGTTGAAGCGCGCGTTTCCCTTCATTCATATAAAGAAAGCGCACGTGCCCAATCCAACGACTCCAAACCTGTCCAACGTGGTGTTCTGCCTTGCCTCGTGTGGCAGCCGCGCTAATTGATTCTTTAAATTTGTCAAAGTCCACGTCTTATATGCGTGTAACAACCCACATTACCTAGAACAAAATATACCAACTATTTTTGTCTTTTCAATTCAAGGATGGAGTAGTTAAACATCAAATTCTTGATTTTTTTTTAATGTATTGTAAGTCATCCAAAACGACATCTATTGTTACTAAGTTAATGGTGAATCGTCTTTACTGCCATGATGCCATCTCCTAATTAAAACTTGTACCATGCAACGTGATCAACATGAGGTCAACACTTATATTCTATGAGGCTTCTAGTCCCTTCCCCATCGCAAAGGCAACATAAAAACATGAAAAATAAAAACATAATTTTACAGTAAATCTAAATCATCAGTCGAAGCCAATAAGGGTTAGTTCAGTTGATAAGGTCCCTGCACTGTGTGTGGCCCCACTAGTGTTTCAGTCCAGCTATCAGTAGTCCTCATTATAGATTGTGAATCTACCATGACGCTGGTGATGAAAATAACCAATCTCACCCTAAACATTTTCATTTAAAAAAAAAAAAAAAAAAAAAAAAAAAAAAAAAAAAATCATCGAAACCACCCGAAACTATTTAGACCGCAGGAGGAGGTAGGTATCTAATCAACTTAAAATTAAGTGACAAACAAGTAAAGTAACCGGTTGGAAAATGGTGGAACGTTCCCAAAATTCTATAATGGGTCACCGAAATTTTTCTGCGGGGACCAGTGGGTCAATTCTTATTTTAGAAAACAATTTATTAATTTTGACCAAAAATAAAAAGGAATCAATTTATGAATTGTATCTTCCGTTTAGGAAAGAATTGAGCAGTTGGCACCCCCTTATAGTAATAAATAAATATATTTATTGAAATGTGTCTCTTAAACCGCGTCAACGGCCTGTGACGCGATGTGATTTCAATTGTTTCCTCAACTAACAAATATTCGTTTCATCAAAATAAGTCTTTTGCGTAGATCCAGAGGCTCATGCCCAAGCCAGAAACAGTCACCATCAACACCAGTCAAGCCTAAAATAATTTTCAAATGCGAGATTGTCGCCTAACTCCGCAGTCCAGAATAACTCACACACGCGCGAGTCAGAGTCAGACAAAACGAGCACAAAGCCGCCATTGAAGCCTATTCACGTTCTTTAGCACCTTTACTTCTAGACAGTTTCTCTCTGTTACATGCATGTCTGCAATTCTCAGAGTTTGTCAGATGATGGGCATCGCTAGCAAAAACCCAGGTTTCAAGTTCCATCTCTTCTCCTTCCTCTTCACTTTCTCCTCTCTTGCTCTGTTTTGCTCTGCTGCCAGTTCAATTACGCAAGGCCGATCTTTAAGAGATGGAGAGACTCTTATTTCTGACGGCAAAAAGTTCGAACTGGGATTCTTCAGCCCGGAGAATTCACCGTACCGGTACGTTGGGATTTGGTATTACAACATTGCAACTTCAGAGCCATCAGTCATATGGGTTGCAAACAGAGAAAGGCCAATTTTTGATAAACTTGGGATCTTGAAAATTGGAAGCAATGGGAATGTGGTGGTTTTAGATGGAAATAACACCGCAGTCTGGTCTAGCAATGCTTCAGCCTCCTCTAACTCCACAGCCATACTCAATGATGAAGGAAATCTTGTTCTTTCAAACAGCGGCGATACCAGCAAGCAGTATTGGCAGAGCTTTGCTGACCCAACAAATACATTTTTGCCTGGCATGAAAGTTGAGGTGAATTCTGCAATTGGAGAGAACAGGTTTTTGACTTCATGGAAGTCAGAAAATGATCCATCTCCAGGAGCGTATTCGATGGGCGTTGATCCACGCGGATCACCGCAGATAGTGATATGGGAAGGATCAAATAGGCGGTGGAGAAGTGGCCATTGGAACAAGCAGTTGTTTATTGGTGTTCCAAATATGCCAACTACATACTCATATGGTTTTAAGCTTAGTGATGAGAATGGGAATGGAAGCATGTATTTTACTTACACACCATGGAATGTTTCGGCTAAGTTGAGGTTTCAGATAAGGTGGGATGGTTATGAAGAGCAGCTTATGTGGGTGGGAGATAAAAACCAGTGGGAAGTGATACAGTCTCAGCCTAACAAGTCCAATGACTGTGAGCTTTACAACAGGTGTGGCAAGTTTGGGGTCTGTAGTGCATCGCATGGTTCTGGTTCGGAGTGTAGTTGTATGCATGGATTTCAACCAACAGATTGGGATCAATGGATTAGGAGAAATTGGTCAGATGGGTGTTCTAGGAAGACGCCGTTACAGTGTCATAGAAACAGAACAATTGGAACAGAGGAAAATGATGAAGAAGATGGGTTTGTAGGTCTAAGGTGTGCCAAGTTGCCTGATTTTGCAGACTTAGTTGTTCCTTTTTCAGATGAGAATTGTGAGGAGATTTGTCTTAAGAATTGTTCTTGTACTGCATATGCATTTGTTCAAGGGATTGGTTGTATGATATGGACCAAGGACTTGCTGGATGTCCAAAAATTTACGAAGGGGGGAAATACGTTGAACATTCGTCTTGCGCATTCTGATTTAGGTAAATTAATTCTTCCTTTGGCTTTATTGGAGTTTTTTTTTTGTCTCTGTTAATCTTTGCTATATAACCAAAAGGCCAGTACTAGCTTTCTTTGTCATTGTTGAGGTTTCTGGTTTTGGTTTGTTTTTCTATACAAGAGAAATCAAGGTGAATTGGATTTACTTTTCTGTTGGTGTAAACTTGGAGTCACTTCATTGTGCTACACACATGACTTCAACTGAAAAACCACTCTAATACCTTTTCTTTTGTCTCCTTTTATATATAGGTGGGAAGAAGAAATTATCCACCCTTGTGATAATAGTAATTTCTGTTGCGGGAGCACTCTTCTTAGTCATCTTCATGTTGCTATTATGGAGGTTTAAAGCAAAACTGAAAGGTAGGATACACATTTCCCTTCCTTACGGTGAATGAGAGGGTCTATATCTTTAGGCAACTTAAGAAAAATGTCGACTGTTCCATTATATATAACCTTCTTTCCATTTTGTTTCTAACTTTTTCCTTTGTTATTATCTAGTGTTGCCTACCACTTCTTCCATTTCATGGTTGAGGAACAACAATCCACCAATGCTTGATGCTAGCAAGAGCAATGAATTCTCAACAGATGTTTCAGGGTCAATTGACCTTTTTGCAGAAGGGAATCAAGTAAATGGATCTGAGTTACCATTGTTCAATTTCACTTGTGTAGCAGCTGCTACAAACAACTTCTCTGAAGAAAACAAACTTGGGAAGGGCGGTTTTGGTACCGTCTACAAGGTGAATTTATATGATGAGCATGTATGCAAGTATTAAAGTAAGGTGTTATGTACTAGAGATTTTACCCCTTTTTTTTTCTCCCATTACCAGGGCAACCTTCCAGGGCTACAAGAAGTAGCTATAAAAAGACTTTCGAGAAGGTCTGGCCAAGGCTTGGAGGAGTTTAAAAATGAGATTAGTCTGATTGCTAAGTTACAACACAGGAATCTTGTTAGACTATTAGGATGCTGCATTCAAGGAGAAGAAAAGATGCTGCTTTATGAATTCATGCCAAACAAAAGCTTGGATTTCTTTCTTTTCAGTATGTTCTCTTTCAGCTAATTAACGTATTCTTTTGCATCAAAATATGTACTTCAAATTCATAGCATTGTGGATATATAGGGATTGTTATTAGGAGGGGTTTGTTTCATTTAGTAGTTGCCTTTTTGGTAAAATGGCAGATCCGTCCAAGCAAGCATTACTGGATTGGAGAAAACGCTTTGCAATTATTGAAGGGATTGCAAGAGGGCTCCTTTATCTCCATAGAGATTCCAGACTTAGAATAATTCATCGAGACCTAAAAGCTAGCAACATTTTGCTAGATGAAGATATGATTCCCAAAATTTCAGACTTTGGTATGGCAAGAATATTCGGGGGGAACCAAAATGAAGCAAATACAACCAGAGTTGTTGGAACATAGTAAGAATGACTTGTTGAAACTAATATAAACTATTTAGATAATTTCAAAGTTTATTAATCTAATTTTCAAATATCCGTGATGCAGTGGTTATATGTCACCTGAATATGCAATGGAAGGTCTGTTTTCTGTAAAGTCAGATGTCTACAGCTTTGGGGTACTATTGCTAGAGATTGTGAGTGGCCGGAGGAACACTAGTTTACGCTCATCAGAACACCTAAGCCTCATTGGATTTGTAAGTTTATACATGATGTTTTGAGTATTAAATGCTAGCTATTACTTCTCTAGTCAGTACTATTCAGAAACTGTAATGATGAAATGAATTTTTGGAATGTTTTCAGGCATGGCATCTTTGGAATGAGAATAGAGCAGTGGACCTCATTGATCCTTCCATTGCAGAAACATGTTCCCAAAATCAAGCTGAATTATTGCGATGCATACAAGTAGGGCTATTGTGTGTGCAAGACTCTGCAATTTTTAGACCAACTATGCCGTCCGTGGTGTTAATGTTGGAGAGTGAAACTGCAAATCTTCAAGTGCCAATACAACCTATATTTACTTCAATTAGGAGATACGTGGATACAAAATTTAGTACAGACGGCCAGGATTTAGCATCCTCAAATGATGTCACAATTACAATGGTAGATGGGAGGTGACATATAAACTTGCTACATGTTTATATGCTAATTCCATCTATTATTGGGGTAAAGTAATGTGTATAGTCTATAGTTTTGGTTAAACAATTGTGAGGGGAAAAAGTAAATGCTCATACCAGAATTCTAATAGAGATTGCAGTTTTGGTTTTTGATGACTGTCATACTCAATAGCATGCCTCATTGGCACCACCATCCTTCTCCACTTTCTAATCACACATGCGTGATAAGTGGAAGAACCTACTAGTTATGCCACAACCAATTTTGCAGATTCCCTTAAAAACTTTTTCTAACAAGTTTGATCCATGCAGATGCTTGTCTCACCTATTAAAAATAAATCTGAAGACGGTAAAATTCATCCTTTAAGAATGACCACAGAAAGAAAAGCACTTCCATCCTCAGAATATGTATCTTGTACCTTGCTCTTTTAAACATTTGTGAAGTAGGCACCTCAAGAATCAAATCTGTTATACATTGGTCTGATTGAAACATCCCATGCCCTCAATACATCCAACTCCAATGTAGTCATTGAATTTAAGCAGAGAAGAGAGCTGCACATAATAGTCAGACACTGATTAAGGTAAGCATAACCTTTGTGCTCCCCTGTCCAGACAGGAGAGCCATTGATTGAGATGGGCCATAACATGGCGCACATAGATTAGTAGACTACATTAATCAGTCAAAATATCTCCACAAGGAGCCAAAATATATTTCAAAGTTTTCTGCGGTTGACTTTAAAATTCAAAATTTTTTTTCATAATGAAGTTTCCTAATGTGCTTCATATTGTCCATGTTGATGTTGCGTAAGAAAACTAACAAGCATCAAATGTGAATCCACTTGCTTAGATATCATCTGAATTTTATACCAGAACAGTGCTATTTTAGTATTGCTTTTCTGGAAAACATAATAGGATTTAAACGGGTATTATTAGAGCTGAAACTATTGCTAGTGCTTTAAATTCTTCCATGTTTTTCCTATTCTTCTTCAGCTTGCTTCTGTCACAGCACCATTGTGCTGAAGTTTATGACATAACTCCTTCACAACCATTATCACAGGGACAAAACCTCGTCTCTCCTGGCCACACTTTTGAACTGGGTTTCTTCAGTCCTAATAACTCGGCTAATAAGTATGTGGGGATATGGCACAAGTATATATTTCCTCGTAAAGTTGTATGGGTGGCCAACAGAGAAAATCCTATTGCAGCTTCAGACACCTTGGCTAGTTTGACAATTAGCAGCGGTGGGAATTTGGAGCTTGTAGATGGCAAACAGAAATCTGTTTGGTCAACCAATATTTCAGTGCCATCTAATACTTCAGCTGCAGTTCTTTTAGACACTGGAAACTTTGTTGTCAAAGATGATGGTATAGCAGCTGCTGATCCATTGTGGCAGAGTTTTGATCATCCTAGTGATACAATTCTACCAGGCATGATGGTTGGATTTGATACTAAATCTGGGAAGAAGAATTTATTCACTGCATGGAAAAGTGAGAGTGATCCATCAGCTGGGATATTCTCTGCTGGACTTGGACCCCAGACTCCATCACAAGTGTTCATTTGGATTAATGAATCAACTCCCTACTGGAAATCTGGGCCATGGGATAAATCGAAGTTCATTGGTGTACCAGAAATGGATGATCGATATCTAAGTGGATTTACTCTAGTTGAGGACGTGCAGCAGGGAACAAAGTATTTTTCTTATAAGTTATCTGACGGTACTCTCTCATATCTAGACCTCTCTTATGAAGGAGTGCTTACGTTTATGGTTTCAGACAATGGCAGCAACTGGTTTCGTGACTGGGAGGCACCAGCGAATCCATGTGAAATTTATGGAACATGTGGACTTTTTGGGGTTTGCAAAGCTTCCAAATCTCCAACTCCAACTTGCAAGTGTTTGAAAGGTTTTGCACCCAAGTCACATGAGGAATGGAGCAAGGGAAACAGGACAGGAGGGTGTGTGAGGCAAACCAAATTGTTTTGTAACACCAGTAATTCAGTTGTTTCAAGTGGAAAAGAAGACGGGTTTCGGCAGGTGGAAAGGTTAAATGTGCCAGATTTTCATGAGTATATTGCAGATATGGATGTTGATGAGTGCAAGATAGAATGCCTAAAGAATTGTTCTTGTCTGGCTTATGCATATGTTACTAATATAGGGTGTTTGGTCTGGTCCGAAGACCTTATTGATATACAAGACTTTGCCTCTGGCGGATCAGAGCTTTTTATTCGCCTAGCTCATGGAGAATTAGGTATATGATAATATTGCTTGCACAACTCTAATTACAATATCTTTTCTTTAGTCTAATACTTTATGTGTTCAAATTCATTTCAGGTGAAGGAAAGCCAATAAAGTTAATTGTTAGCCTCACAGCCATTTGCTTTATCGTTATCTTGGGTGCCATAGTCTTCTGTGTGCACAGGTTGCGAGCGAAACAAAGGGGTAAGGGAACGATATAGAGGGATATCAGCTGATGCATTACTACTTGATCTCTCCCTTCCTCTCTCTAAAATATATTATCAAATTAGCATAGCTTCTATGGATAACTTCATCAGTGCATATTTTACTTGTTGATATCCAAAACTTGATAGCCTTTCTATGATGAAGTAGGCTAATTGGTCTGACTTCTTTGTTTTTTGGCTCTGACTCGGTATTTGATTGCTATCTTTGCCAAATCAGGAAAAATCAAAGTCAAAACAAAGTTCTTTCAATTCTCTGATGTGAATGAGAATTCAAGAGAGAATCTTCAAGAGTATATAAGAAAACATGATCCATCAGAGCTATTCATCTATGATTTTGACAGCATATTAATTGCAACGAACAATTTCAGCATCACAAACAAACTCGGGGAAGGAGGATTTGGCCCTGTTTACAAGGTTATTATTGATTTATTTTTCTATTTTTGAAGGAAAATATAGTATTGAAAAAGCTGCAAGATACAGACATGAATGTAATGATTAATTTGCAGGGTAAGCTACAAGAAGGGAAGGAAATAGCAGTTAAAAGACTATCAAGTAGCTCAGGGCAAGGCATACAAGAGTTCAAGAATGAGGTGCTGTTGATATCCAAACTCCAACATAAAAATCTTGTTAGGATCATGGGATGCTGCGTCCAAGAGGACGAGAAGTTACTGATTTATGAGTTCATGCCAAACAGAAGCTTGGATACTCTTCTATTCGGTTAGTTTCACTGGAGGTTTATGTTTGGCTGCAGTTTCTCTTTGTTACCTGTCTCCTTCTTTGTTAAACTAATATAATTGATAATCCCTTAGTTCTTTGTACTATGCTGTACTCAAGGGGGGCTCATAAAGATTATTTTAGAAAGAAAAAAACAATCAAGCAAGACAGCCCCGCAGATATAATGCTCATAGTTATTAAATGAATTGCATAATATGAGAGTTCAGTTCACTATAAAGTCGAAGAGACAATGTTGAACTAGACCTGGAAATGAATTTCAATTTAATTACATTTACACCCCTGTTTCACTATTGTTCATACAACTATGTCACTATTTTCTAGCACTTAAAGGCTGAAAATATTGGTTACATTTCGAATGTTTTCATTGATTAGATCCAGTGCGGAGACCTGAGCTTGATTGGGGCAGACGCTTCAATATTATTCAGGGTGTTGCTAGAGGGCTTCTTTATCTCCACCATGACTCCTATTTGAAGGTAATACATAGAGATTTGAAGGTCAGTAACATTCTCCTGGATGAGAACATGAACCCAAAAATTTCAGATTTTGGATTGGCACGTATCGTTCAAGGGACACAGAATTTAACAAATACTCAGAAGGTTGTGGGAACACTGTAAGCATCATTCCCTTTCCTATTCTTGGAAGAACTTCAAAACTTAATTTTCAATGTTCAGCATATGGCCATAATGCCATTCATATCAATATATTAGTGAATTTATATGGAAGCAGCAGAGATAACATGTAGGAAATCTAGCTGTACCATTCATTTTATTTAGAGCCCTGCAATCTTAACTGAAATATTAGTTGCATGCCATTAGGAGATAAATTTTGTGGCCCTTTTCTTAAGACCAGAAACGAAGAAGAAATATTGTCAGTTAAAATACTATTGAATTGCCTTTGCAGTGGCTACATGTCTCCGGAGTATGCCATGGGCGGGATATTTTCTGAAAAGTCTGATGTCTATAGCCTCGGGGTCATGATATTGGAGATTATTAGCGGCAGGAAGAACACCAGCTTCTATTACTATGAACAACATCTAAGTTTCCTAGCTTATGTGAGTTCACACTCGAAATCTTATAAATTGTTAAACAATCTATTTGAAGCTAAATACATATATATGAAATTTTGTCAGGCATGGCACTCATGGAATGAAGGCAGGGGATTGGAGTTGGTTGATGAAATATTGGCAGATTCATATTCCTCATCAGAAGTGATGAGATGTATGCACGTTGGGCTTCTTTGTATACAAGACAATGCTGCAGACAGGCCAACCATGCCAGATGTAGTTTTCATGCTAAGTAGCGAGACAGATCGTCGACAACCAAAGGAGCCAATATTTACCTTCCAAAACTCAGTCTCTGGTCCTCAACCAAAGTCTGAAATTATTTTCTCAGCAAATGAAGCTACCATGTCAATGATCCAAGGACGATAAGCAATATCAAATTTTTGCATCTAGTGACCTTTGGCCATTCTGTATGGAAGTTTTCCGTTTGGTTTAGAAAACAACCCCTGTTTTGTTTTTCTATTTTTTCTTGGGAATTGGTATAGTGAATGAAGGTTTTCCCTTCATGTATACTTTGTTTCTCCTTCGCCAAGAAACTGATTATTCCATTTAATATTCAAGGTCCATTTAATTAGATTTGAAAAATTGAAAAATTTATTCATATTGATATTGAATCAGATTGATTTCTATAAAAAAAGAAGTCAATATTCAACTGTTCGAACCTACAAACAAACACCCAGTTGGATTGTTGTATGTTTAATATACAATGAGCTATGTATCTGACAAAAAAAAGGCCTTTTTGTCTTGATTATTGACCTGGAGCCTTAAGAATGACTATAAAGCTTTCTGAATGTTCGAAGACCCCTGCTTGCCTCCTCCTGAGCACTCTAATCTCAAAGAGAGAGGCAAATATGCGAACCCATTTAACTCAGACTGGCTCGAGACAGGGACCAAGGACGACAGAGATTGACCCTCTGTAACTTGTTAATACGGCTCGGAAGTAATGAGAAGTGTGGGAACTGAATTAAATCATACCCTAGGTCAAATAATTCCTTCCATTTGGGGATTATTTGACCTATTTGGGAATTACTCAACCTAATTGGGAGTTACTCAATTTAATTGGGAGTTACCCAATTAAATTGAGAATTACCTAATTAAGTTGGGAATTGATTTGATTCCTACCCCAATTCCCAATTAAATGAGGAGTTACCTAATTAAATTAGGATTTGATCTGATACCTACCACGATTAGGGATTTGATTTACCCAAATAAATCAAATCCCTAATTAATCAAATCAATGCCAAATTAGGGAGGAATAATTCCTTACCAACTACGGAATTATTCCTCTGAAACCCTAATCTCCGAGACCATTATAAATACTTGGCTACGCACAAAGGTCAAGGTACGTCTAAATTCCTACTGAAACTCTGCAGAAATTATTTCTCACAAACCCTAGCCACCACTTTCTTTCTCTCTCTGACACAAGGCTCCGGCCACCACACACGGCTCCGGCCACCCGGTTTTCCTTGAAATACCCTACCTAACTTAGGCATCGGAGGGCCTTTGGCCAACACCCCCCGGGTGTGGTCCTTTTACCCCGATCTGTTTTGCAGGGAGAAAGAGAAGTGGAGAAGACGAAGGAATCTTAGACGAATATTCCCGTGAGGAAATTTGTATAAACAAGAAGTATTGGCTAATTCATATTGATAAAGTAATGAGATTGACCCTCTGTAACTTGTTAATTCATATTGATAAAGTATTGGCTGATTCATCTTCCTCATCAGAAGTAATGAGATGTGTGCATATTGGACTTCTTTGCGTACAAGACAATGCTGCAGATAGGCCAATCATGCCAGATGTAGTTTTCATGCTAAGTAGTGAGACAGATCTTCCACAACCTAAACGGCCTATATTTACCTTCCAAAACTCAGTCTCTGATCCTCAGCCAAAGTATGACAATATTTTCTCCTCAAATGAAGCTACGATAACAATGATTGAAGGACGGTAAGGTAAGAAATAGAAAATTTGTTACATCAAATGCAATGAGCATTCTGAAGTGTTCTTACACACATAGAAGGTTTTCTTTTCGGTGTACAAAACAACCCCTTTTTTATTGGGACCGTAAATGAAGGTTTTCCCAAAAGCAGAGACTAGCCTGGTCCTTGATTGTGTACATTGTTACTCTTGGTAATCCTTGGTTGTAACTATTGTTTACTTCTCTACCAACGAGATTTTCCATGTTAAATCTTTCTCACAAATGGAAAGGCCACCAAATCAAAGATTCTAAGGAAATATGGAACTGAGAAAATTAATTATTGATTCAATATTGAATGAATTATTAAAATTCTTACTTGCCTCATTGGCACCACCTTCCTCTGCCCGCTGCTTTCCAATCTGAATTGCATGGTTTGCTGCAGTTTGCATGTCAAATCACATATACATGACAATATGAAATGTGTTAATCAGTTATGAAGTAAGCTCCTCAAGAATCATTTTAGTCCTAACATCCCATACCCTAACATCCAAGCTGGTAATTGACTCGATGCAGAGAAGAGAGCTGTACATAATAACAGTCAGACCTGGATGGGCCCTACCGTTGATATTTCCAGTGTGGAAGGTTCCAGGTGGCTGGGCCATTGATTGAGATGGGCCGAACCATGTGGTTCGCATTGGTTAATGGCTCCGAGTTGGCCACGAGGAGCAACTAAATGAATCATATGTCCTGGACTACAAATAGTGAACAACGTGATTTAGTCAAACTTATCTGCACATGACTTTGAAAGCATTGGTAGAATTTTCTTCATAAAAAATGGAAAAGTCAATTTTCTCATAGTGAAGATTAGATTACTATTATGCTTCACGTAGGGCGCATCTGAATTTGAGCCCAACATAGTATTTAATTGTCCCTGTTGGGTTTCTGTTAGCGCTTTAAGTTCCACCATGTTCATCCTATTCCTCTTCAGCTTGCTTCTGTCACAGCATCATTGTGCTGAAGTTTATAACATATCTTCTTCACAACCATTAGCACAGGGACAAACCCTCGTCTCCCCTGGCAGCATTTTCGAATTGGGCTTCTTTAGTCCCAATAATAATTCTGAAAATAACAAGTATGTGGGGGATATGGCACAAGAACATACTTCCTCGAAAAGTTGTTTGGGTTGCTAACAGAGAAAAGCCAATCGCAGCTGTAGACACCTTGGCTAGTTTGGCAATAAGCAGCAATGGGAATCTGGAGCTTGTAGATGGCAAACAGAATCCTGTTTGGTCAACCAATATGTCAGTGCCATCTAATACTTCAGCTGCAATGCTTTTAGACAGTGGAAACTTTGTTGTCAAAGTCAGTATAGGAGCAGCTGATCAATTGTGGCAGAGCTTTGATTATCCAAGTGACACACTTCTACCAAGCATGCTGCTGGGATTCGATAACAAATCGGGAAAGAGGAATGTCTTGACTGCCTGGAAAAGTGAGAGTGATCCATCAACTGGGATGTTCTTGGCTGGACTTACACCACAGGTGCCATCACAGGTTGTAATTTGGATGAATGGATCAACTCCCTACTGGAGAAGTGGGCCATGGGATAAATCAAAGTTCATCGGGGTACCGACGATGGATGATGAATATCAAAGTGGATATCACCTAGATGATAATATGCAGCAAGGAAGAAACTATTTTTATTATAATATCCTTGACAAAACTGTGGCATATATAGACATCACTTCAGAAGGTATACTGAAGCTTACGGATTCCGTAAATGGAGAGAACTGGAGTCTTCACTGGGCAGCACAAAAGAATTCATGTGACAAATACGGAGTATGTGGACCTTTTGGGGTTTGTACAGCTTCTGAGTCTCCAACTCCAATCTGCAAGTGTTTGAAAGGGTTTGTACCTAAGTCACATGAGGAATGGAGCAAAGGAAACAGGACAGCAGGGTGTGTGAGGAAAACCAAATTGTTTTGTGAGAGTAACACTAACAAGTCAGTCACTTTGAGAGGAAAAGGAGATGGGTTTTCGAAGATGGTACGGTTGAAAGTACCAGATTTTCATGAATATATCACGTCTTCGGATGCTGTAGACTGCAAGATAAAATGCCTAAATAATTGTTCTTGCTTGGCTTATGCATATGTTGATAATATAGGGTGTTTGGCCTGGTCCAAAGACCTTATTGATATACAGGAGTTTTCGTCTGGCGGAGTAGATCTTTTTATTCTCCTAGACCGTGCAGATATAGGTAAATGATGATAATATTGCTTGCACTGCTTCAAGTAGAAATATCTTTTCTTTTCTGTCTCACACTGTTTGCATTACAACTTCATTTTTTCAGATGAAGGAAATCGAACGAAGTTAATTGTCAGCCTCACAGCTATTGGTTTTATTATTATCTTGGGTGCAATAGTGTTTGGTTTGCACAGGTTGCGAGCTCACCAAAAGGGTAAGAGAGAGCGGGGGATGCAATTCATTTGTGTAAGCTAACAAAATTTTTTTATGGCTTGATCTGACTCAGTATTTGATTGTTATATTTGCCAAATCAGGAAAAATCAAAGTAACAACAAAGTTCTTTAAAGTGACTGATACTACTGAGACTTCAAGAGCCACTCTTCAAGAATATATTAGAAACCAAGATCCATCGGAGCTATTCATCTATAATTTTGATAGCATATTAATTGCTACGAACAATTTCAGCATCTCAAACAAACTCGGGGAAGGAGGATTTGGTCCAGTTTACAAGGTTATTATTTATTTATTTTATCTTTTTTCTAAAGGAAAATATAGTATCACAACATCTATACAATTCTACACAACTACAAGATAAGGACATGAATACCTTGATTAATTTGTAGGGTATGCTACAAGAAGGGAAGGAAATAGCAGTAAAAAGACTATCTAGTAGCTCAGGGCAAGGCATAGAAGAGTTCAAAAATGAGACGTTGTTGATCTCTAAGCTCCAACATAAAAATCTTGCTAGGATCATGGGCTGCTGTGTCGAAGAAGATGAGAAGTTACTGATTTATGAGTTCATGCCAAACAGAAGCTTAGACACTCATCTATTTGGTTAGTTTCACTGGATTTTATCTGTGTAATTTGCCTACTAACTTAAAGCCACAAATGAATTCACATGAACTAAAATTATTTTTGATTGATACAAAGAATCACTGATTTATTTACAACACAAACAGTCAAGCAAGACATCCTGCAGATTTAATGCTCATAAATGTAAACTGAATTGTATACCACATGAGAGTTCTTTATAAAGTATAAGAGACTATGTTGAACTAGACCGGAAATCAATTTTGAATCTGATTACACCCCTGTTTCACTATTGTTCACATAAATGCGTCAGTATTTTCTATGGCAATTTAAGGTTAAAAATGTAGTGACAGTCAACGTTTTCATTGTACAATGCATGGGATATATGAATGAAACTATTGGTTATATTTGAGTGTTTGCACTGATTAGATCCAGCTCGGAGACCTGAACTTGATTGGGGCAGACGCTTCAATATTATTCAGGGTGTTGCTAGAGGGCTTCTTTATCTCCACCATGACTCCTATTTGAAAGTAATACATAGAGATTTGAAGGTCAGTAACATTCTCCTGGATGAGAACATGAACCCAAAAATTTCAGATTTTGGATTGGCACGTATCGTTCAAGGGACACAGAATCTAACAAATACTCAGAAGGTTGTGGGAACACTGTAAGCATCATTCCTTTTCCTATTCTTGGAAGAACATCAAAACTTAATTTTCAATGTTCAGCATATGGCCATAATGCCATTCATATCAAAATATTAGTGAATTTATATGGAAGCACATACATGTAGGAAATCTAGCTGTACCATTCATTTTATTTAGAGCCCTGCAATCTTAACTGAAATATTAGTTGCATGCCATTAGGAGATAAATTTTGTGGCCCTTTTCTTAAAATACTACTGAATTGCCTTTGCAGTGGCTACATGTCTCCAGAGTATGCCATGGGCGGGATATTTTCTGAAAAGTCTGATGTCTATAGCTTCGGGGTCTTGATATTGGAGATTATTAGCGGCAGGAAGAGCACCAGCTTCTATTACTATGAACAACATCTAAGTTTCCTAGCTTATGTAAGTTCACACTCGAAATCTTATAAATTGTTAAACAATCTATTTGAAGCTAAATACATATATATGAAATTTTGTCAGGCATGGCACTCATGGAATGAAGGCAGGGGATTGGAGTTGGTTGATGAAATATTGGCAGATTCATATTCCTCATCAGAAGTGATGAGATGTATGCACATTGGGCTTCTTTGTATACAAGACAATGCTGCAGATAGGCCAACCATGCCAGATGTAGTTTTCATGCTAAGTAGCGAGACAGATCGTCGACAACCAAAGGAGCCAATATTTACCTTCCAAAATTCAGTCTCTGGTCCTCAACCACAATCTGAAATTATTTCCTCAGCAAATGAAGCTACCATGTCAATGATCCAAGGACGATAAGCAATATCAAATTTTTGCATCTAGTGACCTTTGGCCATTCTGTATAGAAGTTTTCCGTTTGGTTTAGAAAACAACCCCTGTTTTGTTTTTCTATTTTTTCCTGGGAATTGGTATAGTGAATGAAGGTTTTCCCTTCATGTATACTTTGTTTCTCCTTCGCCAAGAAACTGATTATTCCATTTAATATTCAAGGTCCATTTAATTAGATTTGAAAAATTGAAAAATTGATTCACATTCAACGGTTCGAAACTACAAACAAACACCCAGTTGGATTGTTGTATGTTTAATATACAATGAGCTATGTATCTGAGAAAAAAAGGCCTTTTTGTCTTGACTATTGACCTGGAGCCTTAAGAATGATTATAAAGCTTTCTGAATGTTCGAAGACCCCTGCTTGCCTCTCCTGAGCACTCTAATCTCAAAGAGAGAGGTAAATATGCGAACCCATTTAACTCAGACTGGCTCGAGACAGGGACCAAGGACAGAGATTGACTCTGTAACTTGTTAATACGGCTCGGTGGAAAAGTGGCGACAAAGATTTGACTTGGTTATGTCGGCTACTCTCATCTATAAAAAGACTTGTAGCCTTCCCAAGCAAGGTGGAGTCTAACAAAGAACTCCCAAACTATTAGGGTGCTACAAGCTACCCGACCCAAACTAAGTCATGTATGTGGGGGAGTGAACCAATCAACTCCCAATCTATATGGGAGCACAAAAGCTACCCAAACTAAGGGAGCCAAGGGCTACCCAATCCTAAGCTATCTTAGAGAGCCAATAAGCTAACCAATCTAAGTGTAAGGGCCAAATAGCCCAAACTATTCTAAATGAAGTGTTGTGGCCAATAAGCCAATATGCTAAAGAGGCCAATTAGCCTAAACCATACTGTGTACTATTCTCCTCCAATATAATAAAATCATTTGTTGTTTCCCCTACAAATCCAACAATTCCGAACATGGTGAGAACTGGAATCTTGACTGGGAGGCCCAAAAGAATCCATGTGACCATTATGGAACATGTGGACCTTTTGGGGTTTGCAAAGCTTCCGAGTCTCCCATCTGCAAGTGTTTGAAAGGGTTTAAACCCAAGTCACAAGAGGAATGGAGCAAAGGAAACAGAGCAGTGGGGTGTGTGAGGAAAACCAAATTGTTTTGTCGGAGTAACACAAGTCAGTCAGTTCCTTCAAGAGGAAAACAAGATGGGTTTTTGAAGATGCCAAGTGTAAACCTACCAGATTTTCATGATTATATTTCGAATTTGGGTGCTGAAGAATGCAAGGACAAGTGCCTAGGTAATTGTTCTTGCCTGGATTATACACATATTAACAATATAGGGTGTTTGGTCTGGTCCAAAGACCTTATTGATATTCAAGAGTTTGCCTCTGGTGGAAATGATCTTTTTATTCGCCTAGCACATGCAGAATTAGGTAAGTGATAGTATTGCTTGCACAACTCTAATTAGCAGTATCTTTTCTTTTCTCTGTCACCTACTTTATTTGACACAACTTCATTTTTCAGGTGAAAGAAAGCAAATAAAGTTAATGGTCAGCCTCATAGCTGTTTGTTTTTATCAGTATCTTGGCTGGCATAGTGTTTAGCTTGCACAGATTGCGATCTAACCAAAAGAGTAAGAGAATGAGGTTGAGGGATACAATTAATGCATTAGCCCATGATCTCACCCTTCCTCTGTTTGAAGTATTAATCAAAACAGTATAACTTCAATGCATTACATTATAACAGCATATTTACTGCTTTTTTGTTTTTCTCTGACTTCGAGTTTGGTTGCTATATTTGCAAACCAGGAAACGTCAAAGTAACACCTAAGGACTCTGAAATGGCTGATATGATTGAGACTTCAAGAGACGCTCTTCTTCATGAATATATAAGAAAACATGGTCCATCAGAGTTCGTAATCTATGATTTTGATAGCATATTAATTGCTACAAGCAATTTCAGCATCACAAACAAACTCGGAGAAGGAGGATTCGGGCCTGTATATAGGGTGATTATTCTTTCTCTTTTTTCTTTTCGAAGGAATATATATAATGATACAGACATGAATGCAATGATTAATTTGTGGACCTTGTGTAGGGTAAGCTACAAGAAGGGAAGGAAATAGCAGTAAAAAGACTATCTGGTAGCTCAGTACAAGGAATAGAAGAGTTCAAGAATGAGATGCTGTTGATCTCCAAACTCCAAAATAAGAATCTTGTAAGGCTCATGGGTTGATGCATTAAAGATGATGAGAAGCTACTAATTTACGAGTTCGTGCCAAACAAAAGCTTGGATACTCTTTTGTTCAGTAAGTTTCACTGGCCCTTTATGATTGGCTGCAATTTCTCATTGTTACCTATCCTTCTTCAACATCACTGGTAAGCTATGAGCTTTTCCTAGAATGCCGAGCTCAGGGGAACTATTAACTGATATGCACAATCTTTGAGTACAGTTTAGCTCTTCAATATATCACACCTACCTGTTTAAGCCCTGCTTATTACAACTGTGTCTCTTCTTTATAGCAATTAAATCATTGTTTTCATTGTACTATGCACCAAATATATAAATGACACTACTGATATCATTTCAAATGGGTGAATTGATTAGATCCAATGAGAAGAGCAGAGCTTGATTGGGCTAAACGCTTCAATATTATTCAAGGTGTTGCTAGAGGACTTCTTTATCTCCACCATGATTCATGTTTGAAGGTGATACATAGAGATTTGAAGGTAAGTAATATTCTGTTGGATGAGAAGATGAGCCCAAAAATTTCAGATTTTGGATTGGCACGTATCTTTGAAGGGACACAGAATCTAGCAAACACACAAAAGGTTGTGGGAACTCTGTAAGAATAATTTCTTCCCTATTATCAGCATTGTTATTTCCCAACTAAATTTCTAACGCCTTTTAGCATGTTATCAGGAATAATAATAATAAGTTGGTGGATATTGAATTTCCTGTGCAGTGGCTATATGTCTCCAGAGTATGCCATGGGCGGGATATTTTCTGAAAAATCTGATACATATATATATATATATATATATATATATAGCTTTGGAGTCTTGCTATTGGAGATTATTGGTGGCAGGAAGAATACCAGCTTCTATTGCCATGAGCAAGAGCTAGGCTTGATAGCTTATGTCAGTTCACACTTAAATCTTATAAATTTAGAATTTATAACTTTAAAAATCTACATGAAGTTAAATACAACAGAGTCTAACAATTGTAGCCAACATATATGAAAATTTGTCAGGCATGGCACTCATGGAATGAAGGCAGGGGATTGGACTTGGTTGATGAAGTTTTGGCAGATTCATATTCCTCAACAGAAGTGATGAGATGTGTGCACATTGGGCTTCTTTGTGTACAGGACAATGCTGCAGATAGGCCAACCATGCCAGATGTAGTTTTCATGCTGAGTAGGGAGACAGATCGCTCACAACCTAAGCGGCCTATATTTACTTTCCAAAGCTCAGTCTCTGATCCTCAACCACATTCTGACAATATTTGCTCCGCAAATGAAGATACCGTAACACTACTTCAAGGACGATAAGAAATTGCAAATTTTTGCATCTACGGACTTTTGGCCATTCTGAAGTTTTCCTTTTGGTATAGTCAATGAAGGTTTTCCTTTCATGGGATATTTGCTAAAATGCGGCGAAAAAACATTATAAGACAGGTGTTAGTAGTATAACATCCCGTTAATGTCCTGATCCAATGCTAGCCTATGCTATTATTACATTAGAAACATATGTTTTGTACATGTTCAAATATCTTATGCTATTATTAAAAGGTAAAGAAAAAAGCAGTTTTTTTGGGTTCAACTTCACCTGCCTTGTTATTTTTCAGACAAATTTTGATTGTCTAATGATGAGTCAATTTTATATTATATATTTAACCCTATTCTTAGTATATTTTGGTTAATATTTTGGAAGAATTTTGATACTTTGAATTATATTTCCAATATAGGTTTTTCGACTCTCTCTGGAGCAAAACATAATCAAACGGACGAATTTTGGAGTAATTCCAGTTGGAGGACATACGTGAGTCACTTAGCTTGATCGTATCAAAATATCAGACTTTTCCACTAAGCGATGATTTCCTGGTGAATAAATGAAGGAGCGATGTGCAGTGCTGGAATAGTGACGTTTTGGGCTTATATTGCGTTTTTGGAGCCCAAGATGACCTCAGATGGGTTCGTGACCTTCTGGAGAAGTGTTCGGAATATTTTTATCTTTAAAACGAGCTATCTTGGGCCATATTTGGAGGAGATTTGAGACCAAAACGTGGCTGGGCATATTGTGGGCAGATTCTCCTAATCCAATTTGGACTTTATTTCCTAGTCTTATTTTATTTTAACTTAGTTTTCTTGTGGGGATTGGGTAGCTAGGTTTTAGGAGGTATTTAAGCTCATTTTCACAGCAATTTAGAGGACTTCCTTTTTGACTTCTTTTTTGGCTTTGAGAGCAATTGCTAGGGTTTTGGATTTTCGCTACTTTCATGTGTTTTCATTCTTATTCATTTGAATGATATTTTCTTGGATTTTCAATTATGATTATGTGTAACTAATTCCTTTTGCTAGGGCGAGGCCGTAAGCCTTAGCATGAATAAGTAATTGATAGAATTGCATAGGATTGCGACGGTGTTGGCTAAACGCTAGTTTTCTCTAAATTGTTAGTCTTTAGAAAGAAATCGTTTTTCTTCTTTGCTGTTATATTTTCCAACTTTCAGATTTCTTTTACTGTTAGTTTAATCTTTTCAAATTCATAAACTTCAAATCTTTTATAAAATCTATTTTAGTTATTAATTAAGAGTTAGTTTAATTACAGATTAGTCAAACAATCTTTGGGGACAACAACCTTGCATGAGCATCTATACTACAATAGCCTTGTATTCTTGCAAGTATTTTCAGTGATTTTAACCCTGTTTGCGCAGGTACTAAAAATCCTATCATCTAACACATAATATGTGACAGCAATAACAAAACTTTATCTTTCAAATTGAAAACTACATTATCGACTAACATGATTCTTGACTGTTGACCTGGAGAATGATTATAAAGCTTTCTGAATGTTCGAAACACCCCTGCTTGCCTCATGACCATGTCAAAGATTGGCTTCTGTAACTTGTTAATACGGCTTGGTGTCAAAAATGGCGACAAAGCTCTGACTTTTTTGGGCTGCTGTAAATTTGAGGTTCGTAGCAACTTCCCACCAACTGTTTGTTTTCCCGACCTTTTTCTTTCTTTTGTGATTTCTTTATAGATACCACTAGCAATATTGTTTTGGTTGACAATTAGATACCCCGTGTTGGGCAGGGAGATTAACAAGCTTGAAATGGGTAAGAGAACTGAAACTTTTCATGCTTTTAATCCCTCCATCTTCATCCTATTCTTTTTCAGCTTGTTTCTGTCACAGCATGATTGTGCAGAAGTTTATAACATAACTTCTTCACAACCATTAGCAGAGGGACAAACTCTTGTCTCCCCAGGCCACATTTTCGAATTGGGCTTCTTCAGTCCTAATAATTCTGCAAACAAGTATGTGGGGATATGGCACAAGACTATATTTCCCCGCAAAGTTGTTTGGGTGGCCAACAGAGAAAAGGCTCTTTCAGTTACAGACACATTGGCTAGTTTGACAATTAACGGCAATGGGAACCTGGAGCTTGTAGATGGGAAACAGAGTTCTATTTGGTCAACCAATATTTCAGTGCCATCTAATGGTTCAGCTGCACTTCTTTTCGACAGTGGAAACTTTGTTGTCCAAGATGATATAGGAGCTCAATTATGGAGGAGCTTTGATTATCCTGGTGACACACTTCTACCAATGATGTTGCTGGGATTTGATAACAACTCTGGAAAGAGGGATGTCTTGACTGCCTGGAAAAGTGAGAGTGATGGATCAACCGGGTTGTTCTCGGTTGGATTGGCACCACAGATCCCAACACAAATGTTCATTTGGATTAATGGATCAACTCCCTACTGGAGAAGTGGGCTATGGGACAAAGCAAAGTTCCTTGGCATACCAGGAATGAATGATGAATATGTAAGTGGATTAAATCTAGATGATAATGTGCAGCTGGGAACAAAGTATTTCTCTTTTTTCTTGAACAGAATTCTGGCATATATGGAAATCTCTTATAAAGGTACACTAAAGCTTATGTATTCCGAACATGGTGAGAACTGGAATCTTAACTTTGAGGCCCCAAAGAATCCATGTGACCATTATGGAATATGTGGACCTTTTGGGGTTTGCAAAGCTTCCGAGTCTCCCATCTGCAAGTGTTTGAAAGGGTTTAAACCCAAGTCACAAGAGGAATGGAGCAAAGGAAACAGTGCAGGGGGGTGTGTGAGGAAAACCAAATTGTTTTGTGGGAGTAACACAAGTCAGTCAGTTCCTTTGAGAGGAAAACAAGATGGGTTTTTGAAGATGTCAAGGGTAAACCTACCAGATTTTCATGAGTATATTTCGAATTTGGGTGCTGAAGACTGCAAGGTACAGTGCATAGGTAATTGTTCTTGCCTGGCTTATACACATATTAACAATATAGGGTGTTTGGTCTGGTCCAAAGACCTTATTGATATTCAAGAGTTTGCCTCTGGTGGAGATGATCTTTTTATTCGCCTAGCACATGCAGAATTAGGTAAGTGATAATATTGCTTGCACAACTCTAATTAGCAGTATCTTTTCTTTTCTCTGTCACCTAATTTATGTGACACAAATTCATTTTTCAGGTGAAAGAAAGCAAATAAAGTTAATGGTCAGCCTCATAGCTGTTTGTTTTATCAGTATCTTGGCTGGCATAGTGTTTGGCTTGCACAGATTGCGATCTAACCAAAAGAGTAAGAGAATGAGGTTGAGGGATGCAATTAATGCGTTAGCCCATGATCTCACCCTTCCTCTGTTTGAAGTATTAATCAGAACAGTATAACTTCAATGCATTACATTATAACAGCATATTTACTGCTTTTTTGTTTTTCTCTGACTTCGAGTTTGGTTGCTATATTTGCAAACCAGGAAACGTCAAAGTAACACCTAAGGACTTTGAAATGGCTGATATGATTGAGACTTCAAGAGACGCTCTTCTTCATGAATATATAAGAAAACATGATCCATCAGAGCTAGTAATCTATGATTTTGATAGCATATTAATTGCTACAAGCAATTTCAGCATCACAAACAAACTCGGAGAAGGAGGATTCGGGCCTGTATATAGGGTGATTATTCTTTCCCTTTTTTCCTTTCGAAGGAATATACATAATGATACGGACATGAATGCAATGATTAATTTGTGGACCTTGTGTAGGGTAAGCTACAAGAAGGGAAAGAAATAGCAGTAAAAAGACTATCTGGTAGCTCAGTACAAGGAATAGAAGAGTTCAAGAATGAGATGCTGTTGATCTCCAAACTCCAACATAAGAATCTTGTAAGGCTCATGGGTTGCTGCATTAAAGATGATGAGAAGCTACTAATTTATGAGTTCATGCCAAACAAAAGCTTGGATACTCTTTTGTTCAGTAAGTTTCACTGGCCCTTTATGTTTGGCTGCAATTTCTCATTGTTACCTATCCTTCTTCAATATCACTGGTAATCTATGAGCTTTTCCTAGAATGCCGAGCTCAGGGAACTATTAACTGATATGCACAATCTTTGAGTACAGTTTAGCTCTTCAATATATCACACCCACCTGTTTAAGCGCCGCTTACTAGTGTTCTTACAACTGTGTCTCTATTTTATAGCAATTAAATCATTGTTTTCATTGTACTATGTACCAAATATATGAATGACACTACTGATTTCATTTCAAATGGGTGAATTGATTAGATCCAATGAGAAGAGCAGAGCTTGATTGGGCTAAACGCTTCAATATTATTCAAGGTGTTGCAAGAGGACTTCTTTATCTCCACTATGATTCACGTTTGAAGGTAATACATAGAGATTTGAAGGTAAGCAATATTCTGTTGGATGAGAAGATGAGGCCAAAGATTTCAGATTTTGGACTGGCACGGATCTTTGAAGGGACACAGAATCTAGCAAACACTCAGAAGGTTGTGGGAACTCTGTAAGAATCATTTCTTCCCTATTATCAGAATTGTTATTAACCAACTAAATTTCTAATGCTTTTTAGCATGTTATCAGGAATAATAATAAGTTAGTGGATAATGAATTTCCTGTACAGTGGCTATATGTCTCCGGAGTATGCCATGCGCGGGATATTTTCTGAAAAATCTGATATATATGGCTTTGGGGTCTTGCTATTGGAGATTATTAGTGGCAGGAAGAATACCAGCTTCTATTACCATGACCAAGAGTTAGGATTGATAGCTTATGTAAGATCGCACTCTAAATCTTATAAATTTAGAATTTATGACTTGAAAAATCTACATGAAGCTAAATACAACAGAGGCTAACAATTGTAGCCAACATATATGAAACTTTTTCAGGCATGGCACTCATGGAATGAAGGCAGGGGATTGGACTTGGTTGATGAAGTCTTGGCAGATTCATATTCCCAATCAGAAGTGACGAGATGTGTGCATATTGGTCTTCTTTGTGTACAGGACAATGCTGCAGACAGGCCAACCATGCCAGATGTAGTTTTCATGCTGAGTAGGGAGACAGATCGCCCACGACCTAAGCGGCCTATATTTACTTTCCATAGCTCAGTCTCTGATCCTCAACTGCGGTATGACAACATTTGCTCCGCAAATGAAGATACTATAACACTGCTTCAAGGACGATAAGGAATTGCAGGCAATCCTTGGTTTGCAACAATTTCTTTTATTCCCCAGCTTCGTACCCTCTTCCCACCATTTTTTTTTTCTGAAAATCTTTCCTTTTTGTTTCTTCTGTGATTTCTTTATAGGTATGCGAATTGTATATTCAATCAAATTGTTTATATTTCATAACAGGTTATAAGCAATACTAGCAAAGGTGCCCCCGCGACGACGCGAGTATTAAAACTGTATAAAATATGTAAAAAGTTGTAAAAACATATATGAAACACAATATTATGCCAGCCCATTATCATTGACTCAGCATAATAGATAAACTGATTGCGATTCTGATTAATATTTCTATTCACCCATCTCCTAGGTTAAAGTAGTGACCTTTAAATAGGATGAAATAAACACTCCTTCATATATCCATCTGAACGGATAACATCAGTTCAAATGCTCGACCATACTAATGTTTTGCAACAAAAATTCAAGAACCCAGTTCCCTTGGGAAGACCTTTACCAGTCAAGAGTTCAAAATCTAACAACAATAGGAACCCAATCACAGCTGCCTTCCCATTTATGAAAACATAACACACACACACACACACACACACAGAGATATACAAAGGTACAAACTTGGACTGAAATAACATACAAAGATGCATAATTTCACTCGCACAACCGAACCCAATTCCCTCCACCTCCATTTATACCCCTCAAATTCACCGAAATCAGAAAATTTAACAGCAAAAGGAAATGAAGTGATGGAGAAAAGAGTGATATCGGAGAGGCCAAGCGAGAGAAGAGGATTGAGGGGAGAGAGACAAGCGAAGGGGCCAGAATAAAAACAACTAAGAAAACAACAACAACAAAAGTGTACATATGAAATCAGAACCTTGTAATGCAGAGGCTTTCTTTACCTCTACGAAAACTCTGCAAGCTAAACCCACGTATGGTACAATACCTCAGTTCTAATGAATCAAAACGAAAAAGATAGAAAGTGTTCCATGATCCGTACCTGTAGCCCTAATCCTCATCCAAATGTGTAGAGCCTCTTGTTAACACTCGTCTACTTTCAAACTCCACGGCGCAGATCCGAGGAGTTTGGGAAACCCTAGTTCTCTTTTAGCAACCTACTATTCTCCTCTGTTTTTCTCTCTCTAGCTCTCATCAACATCATCAGGTCACTCTCTCTTTCTCTCTGTCTCATACATGTTCATTCATATTCATAGCCAGCAGACCAGATCAAATAGCTAATGAGGTATCACAAAAACATAAATTGAAATAATTCAGCAAACACAAATCAAATGAACACAGTTCAACCAAGTATAGCTTATAACCATACCCATACCCAAAAGTGAAGTCTATGTTTCAAGATTTTGAAATATTAAATAGATAACCCTTCTAAAATTATACATCAAGCAATTGTCTGGGCAAATTAACAATCACAATCAAACAATTCTAAGACAGTGCTAGCACAAAGGATCCTTATCGCAGAAAATTAAAGATGATGACAGCAACATAAAACTATAAAGTTTGATACTAATGCCCCAAGTTACATTCTTGGTTCTTTGCTGATCTCAACAAAGTCTAAAGAAAGCTGTAATAGTGAACTCAGTCCTTTGTAATCAGCTGTAATCTTGGCTTTCTTTTTCTTTGGAAAATTAAAAATTAAAAATTAAAAATAAATAAATAAAACTACAAAACAAAAAGAGTACATAGGACCCTCCTTGATGTATACGCACTCCATAGACTGAAGCTTTTTTTAAAAAAGTAAATCCAAGAGTCATAGAATACTAAAACATTGGCAATGAAAATTTTAATTTAGTATGTAGGAGTCATAGAACAGTACCCGTGAGAATAAGAGTGATTGCATCAAAAGTTCGAGCTGGAACTCTGCAAGTAAACCCAAGACTTCTGAGAATGCTTAAAATTAACATTTGTAATAACATACATCTTTTTAACTCCATGTACAAAAGTATTGAATCCCTATAGCCCTTGTAAAGGAAAATCACAAACCAGTATCTTTAATGCAGAGAAATATGTGGTCCACAACAATTGACAATTGAGACCATAGAACGTCCTGCTGCTTCTGTGGATCGCTGCGAAGATTTCATGAGAGATATAGAGAGGGAGAGAGACAGAGAGACAGAAAGACAGAGAAGAAGAAAAGGAAATCATAAGAGATTAGCTAGAAAATAGTATGAGAACGAAGTAAAGGCAATAGCAAACCTGCTGAGTGTTTGAATATACATCTCTATTCAGGCAGACATACAATCCTATCATAAAGCGGAGAAGAGCACGCAGGCCTGTGCCACGTGATTATATCTCAGCACCAGTGAATCCTACAATTTTTCCTCCCTAAAATCTAGCCATCCAAAAAATTTCAGGGGTAAAATATTTTCTTCTTGTTGATCAAGCTCAGGTATTAAAAATCAATTCCTTGTTTGGAGCCCAAAATTTTTTAATCACAAACTACATTCCTACTAAGGGATCCATAAATAGGAACATCATTATTGCTTAAGGTAAAATACAACAAAAATCCTCCAAACAATCCAAATCTAAAGCAAAATCATCAACCAGTCCAATCAAAAGCAAAAATCAAAGGCTGAGATAATCCTACAATACCTCAGTTCTAATGAATCAACATTGAAAATAAACCCAGCAAGCAACAAAATCCCGGAGAGACACTGCCAAAACAAATTATACATTCAATTAGGATTCTAGAGCATTTAAAAAGATTTTAAAAATCTGGATGTATTCAATTTGGATTTATACAAACTTTTAAAAAGTCTATAACAGTTTGGGTGTATTCAATCTAGACTTGTTTGAACTTTTAAAATGTCCATCTAAAAGTGGGTGTATTCAATTAGGACTTGGAAAAAAGTCCAAATAAATTTAACTGTATTAAAAAAGAGATAGATTTGGAAGGATTTAATTAAATGTTGGAGTTTGGAGAATTTGTAGGGTTTAGGTATAAATAATAAAGGCCAACATAAGTCCAACCTCCACCCTAAAGATTTCATCCAATGTGTTTTTTTTTCTCTCTGTGTTAGAAATTTTTCCATCGTTTGGTAAACAATGCACTAAGCCATGCACTAACCTTGGGTGGCGTCTTGTATTAAGCAAAGCTCCTCCATTAGTGATTTCTTCAAATCAACTAGTTGGAGTTGTTGGGAGGAAAGCTCGTCTAGAGATTTCTCGATCTTCGATAAGTTCCCCTAGAGATCATCTCGACGTGAAGCCAACGTCAAGGCGGCGGAAGGTTGAGATATATTTCTATCACCCATAACACTACCAGATGATAGGGCCCTTGCTTTTTGGACAAAGGGTTGTTTTTTTTTTTTTTTTTTTTTTTTTTAATTTTTGTTGATTTGTGGTTGAGTTGGATGCTGTTTCATGAACAAAATCAAAGGGAAATTTCCAACTCGTGGAAATTGCAAAGGGAAATTTATTGTTTAGGTTTAATTGAATTTTTGGACGAAGAGTTTGCTGTTCGTGAACAAAATCAAAGGGAAATTTCCAACTCGTGAAAATTTCAAAGGGAAATTCATTGTTTAGGTTTAATTGAATTTTTGGACGAAGAGTATGAAAGTTTCCAACTCATGGAAATTTCATTGTTGTGCACACAAGTAGAGGAATAATGTGGAAAAAAAAAAGGGATGGTCGACTATTGGCTAGGTCAAGATAGTTTAAAGAAAATAGTGTTGGGAAGAAAGAGTGATAAAAGAAAATAGTATTGGGAAGTCTATGCAAATATATCTGAATCTATAACAAAAGCTCATACCAAAGTATGGAAGTCTATAATAAAAGCCTATACAAGTTTATTAAAAAATCCAGATAAAACCTATAGGAGTTATACAATTTCAGAAAATCTGTTATTTAAAAAAAAATCTTTCAAAATCGTATGCAATCCTAATTTAGAATCAATAACAGTTTTCCTTTTTTTTTTTTTTTTTTTTTTTTTTTTTCTGTCAGACTTACATATTTGTCTCTCTTAAGAGAGCCAAGGCCTAAGGGCTTTGGTTGGGAATGAATTTTTCAAAGCATTTTCTGGAGAAATTATACAATAGTACCGTATTACCACGTCAGCTGGTGATACTTCCACTCAAAATATGCCATGTGTCAATATTTTTTAAATAAAATTGATTTTTTTTACAACTTGTATTTAAAATTCATTATTTACATTTAGAATAACATTTTAGAAAGACAAAATCCAAAAGACGCCATAACCACCTCCACCCCAACCCAACCCAACCCAATTTCCCCACTCCCACTGCTTGCCGCCCCCTCCCTCACTCACCATAAAAATCTGCAAGATCTCTTAAACCATGGGAGCAGAAAACAAAACCAATATCATATATTCTAAGTATGTCAGGAGTATCCATCACTTAAACCCACCTCACCACCTGGTTGCCTCTCACTGCCTCATGATGAACGAGTGCCTCTGTTGCTCACAATCCCACCAGCCTTTCATAAATATCGCATGCCACTCAAGAGATTCATGGCACACCTTTGTGATTGATGAAAACATATGCCTTCATAATCCTTACCACGACATGAAAATTTGAAACCGTAGATTCTTTGGTTGATTCATGAGGCATAAAGATTTAATTCTGGGAATAACTGTTGTACAAATACAAATTGCCTCATGCCGAGTGTTTTATCCGTTTTGTGTCTGGTACAGTAAGCTGTTGTGGGGCTCTTTGTTGGCTTGTCCAGATTGACCGCTGTCTATTGCTTTCTTAGTTTCGATTGTTGCTGTGGTCTATTGTTTCCCTCTTTTCTGTTGTCTCTTCTTCCTTGTCAAGGGAGGAGGTTGGGGTGGGGTGGGCAGTGGTTCAGTCAAGGGAGCCAGGGTTGGGGTGGGCGGTGGTTCTGTCTTTTGGATATTCTTATTTTCTCAATTTTATTTTAAAGATAAAACATATTTAAAGTCCAGCTGTTAAAAAAAAGCTTTAATTATTTAAAAATAATAATACGTGGCATATTTTGAATGGAAGTATCACCAGCTGACGTGGTGATACGGTACCATTGTATAATTTCTCCATTTTCTGGTCCTACGTGGCAGTCATCGGTACCGCATTATTGAGTCAAACATTCAACAAGATACAACCCAACATTTATTTTATATTTATTTTTGAAAATAAGTTAAAGCCTTAGCCACCTAATGCGAAAACAGGGGAGGCAAGACAAGGCAAGTGGATATAGTAGTTGAATTTCACCAAGCATAAGAACAAAGCCATTACAACAACTTGTATCAATCCAATCCCAAAAGTACTGAAATGAGGAGGGTGACAAGGTTGACCATCTCGACCAGAGAAGATGAAATTTCTAGGATAGAGAGAACAGAAATTAGATACCCCTTGTTGGGTGAGAAAGCTAACAAGCTTCAAAAATGTGCATCCATGATCCATTTGCTACTGATAAGGTTTGCATCTGACAAGCTAACAAGCTTGAAGGAAAGTATCCCAAAGTTGTTTTTTATGAACAGAAGATACTGGGATGCAAATGGATACTGGAAAAGAAGGTTTTAGTGCTTTAAATTTCTCCATCTTCATCCTGTTGCTGTTCAGCTTGCTTCCATTACAGTGTTGTTCTCAAGTTCATGACATAACTCCTTCGCGACCATTAGCAGAGGGACAAACTATTGTCTCCCCAGGCAACTTATTCGAGTTGGGATTCTTCAGTCCTAATAATTCTCCTGCTAATAAATATGTGGGGATATGGTACCAGAATATACTTCCTCGTAAAGTTGTATGGGTGGCCAACAGAGAAAAGCCTCTTGCAGTTGCAGACACCGTGGCTAGTTTGAGAATTAGCCGCAATGGGACTCTGGAACTTGTAGATGGGAAGCAGAATTCTGTTTGGTCAAATAATGTTTCAGTGCCATCTAATAGTTCAGCAGCTGCCCTTTTTTTAGACGACGGAAACTTTGTTGTCAAAGTCAATGCAGGAGCAGCTGATCATTTGTGGGAGAGCTTTGATTATCCTAGTGACACACTTCTACCTAGTATGCTGCTGGGATTTGATAGTAAATCCGGAGAGAGGAATTTCTTGAGTGCCTGGAAAAGTGAGAGTGATCCATCAACTCGGATATTCTTGGCTGGATTGACACCAGAGGTGCCTTCACAGTTGGTGGTTTGGATCAATGGATCAACTCCCAACTGGAGAAGCGGGCCATGGGATAAATCAAAATTCATCGGTGTACCCGAAATGGATGATCAATATCAAAGCGGATTTTATCTAGATGAAAATGCGCAACTGGGAACAAAGTATTTCTCTTTTAGTTTATTTGAAAAAACTGTGGCAGCATATATGGACATCTCTTCAGAGGGTGTATTAAAGCTTATCTATTCGAAACATGGCGAGAACTGGAATACTTTCTGGGAAGCCCCAAAGAGTCCATGTGACAATTATGGAGCATGTGGACCTTTTGGGGCTTGCAAGTCTTCTGAATCTCCAATCTGCAAGTGTTTGAAAGGGTTTGTTCCCAAGTCACTTGAGGAATGGAGCAAAGGAAACAGGACAGGAGGGTGTGTGAGGAAAACCAAATTGTTTTGTGAGAGTAACACAAATCAGTCAGTTGCTTTGAGAGGAAATGATGATGGGTTTTGGAAGATGTCAAATGTAAAACTACCAGATTTTCATGAGTATATTTCGTCTTTGAGTGCTGAAAACTGCAGGAGACAGTGTCTAGATAATTGTTCTTGCTTGGCCTATACATATGTTAATAATATAGGGTGTTTGGTCTGGTCCAAAGACATTATTGATGTTGAGGAGTTTTCATCTGCTGGACAAGATCTTTTTATTCGCCTACGCACAGAATCTGGTAAGTGATAATATTGCTTGCACTAGCCATATCTTTTCACTCTTCTGTCTCATACTTTATGTGTTACAAATTCATTTTTTCAGGTGAAGGAAAGCGAACAAGGTTAATTGTTAGCCTCACAGTAGCTATTTGTTTTATGGGTGTCTTGGTTGCCATAGTGTTCATTTTGCACAGGTTGCGAGTGAAACAAACGGGTAAGAGAATGATCTCTCTCTAAAGGATTAATCAAATCTCTCTCTAAAGGATTAATCAAATCCATGAGTAGCTTTATAAGAGCATATTTACTGGTTGATTTTCTGAACTTGATAGACTTGCTATGATGAAGAAGGTGGGGTGATTAACTGCTCCTACTTTTCTGTGTTTTGCTTTGCTCTGAGTAACCCTTATTTTTACATTTACCAAATCAGGAAACATCAAAGTAACAAGAAAGTTCATTGAATTGAATGATACCATTGGGAATTCAAGTGACACTCTTCAAGAATATATCAGACGGCATGATCGGTCAGAGTTACTCATCTATAATTTTGATAACATAATACTTGCTACGAACAATTTCAGTATCACAAACAAACTCGGGGAAGGAGGATTTGGCTCTGTTTACAGGGTGATTGTTAAAATTATTGTCTTTTTTCTATTCGAAAATATTAGTATTACTACAGCTACATGCCTACAACTACTATTAGAAGATACAAACATGAATGCAATTATGCAATGTAGGGTAAACTGCAAGAAGGGAAGGAAATAGCAGTAAAAAGACTATCTAGTAGCTCAGGGCAAGGCATAGAAGAGTTCAAGAATGAGATGGTGTTGATCTCCAAACTGCAACATAAAAATCTTGTTAGGATCATGGGCTGCTCTGTCCAGGATGATGAGAAGTTACTAATTTACGAGTTCATGCCAAACGGAAGCTTGGATACTCTTCTATTCAGTTAGTTTCATTGCTCTTTGTTACCTAGTGGTGGTCAATTTTTTCATTGTGAAGTGCATGGGATTGGGAAGTATTAATGACAGTACTGTTATATTTTGAATTGGTGCATTGTAGATCCAATGACAGGAGGAGCAGTGCTTGATTGGGGTCGACGCTTCAAGATTATTCAGGGTGTTGCTAGAGGGCTTCTTTATCTCCACCATGATTCCTGTTTGAAGGTAATACATAGAGATTTGAAGGTCAGTAACATTCTCTTGGATGAGAACATGAACCCAAAAATTTCAGATTTTGGATTGGCACGTATCGTTCAAGGCAGGCAGAGTCTAGCAAATACTCACAAGGTTGTGGGAACAATGTAAGCATCATCTCTTTCTTTTCCAATTATCAGAAATCTTCTTTAAAAGTTGTATCCTTGAACACACTGTCACTCATATTGTTAATATTACTGAATAAATGGCCTAGGCGGGGGCTAGGCGGTCGCTAGGGGGCCTCTAGGAGGGTTGGGCGGTCACTAGGCAGGGGCTAGGCAGTAGCTAGGCAGGAGCTAGGCGGTCGCTGGGTAGGCACTAGGCGGCCTAGGCGGTCTAGGCGGGCGCTAGCGCCTAGAGAAAAAAAAATGCCATTTTGGAATCTCCAAGGTCAGGGACAATGATGGTGCTATGAGCAAGAGAGAGATGAGGATTGATGAAGAATAGAGGTCGTGGGTTATGTCTGAGCAATAGAGAGGGGCTGGAAGATGGCTCGTGTTAAAGAGTTAGGTTTGAGAAGGAAAATTGCATTTATATGTTGATGAAAAAAAAAGAAAAAAGATGGGCCCCTATTACTCCTCTAGGCGTTAGACCCTTGCCTGCAGCCGCCTACCACCTTGTTTTGAACATTGGGATTGACATGTTGGTAAATCGAGCTGTACCAGCTCTTCAATGTACAACCCTTGCCATTTTAACTGACTCATCTTCCCTTTTGTTTGTGTTCATAATTAACTGAAAATTAGTTGCATTGCATGGCATCTAGATTTAACTTTTCTGGTATCATTTTTCTCAAGACTATAAATAAAGAAGCAATTTCGTCAGTTTAATACTACTCAATTGATTGTGCAGTGGCTATATGTCTCCGGAGTATGCCATGGGCGGGATGTTTTCTGAAAAATCTGATGTCTATAGCTTCGGGGTCTTGTTATTGGAGATTATTAGTGGCAAAAAGAATACCAGCTTCTATTGCAGTGACCAACAGCTAGGGTTCCTAGCTTATGTAAGCTCACACTCTAAATCTTATTGCTAAATTTTTTCTTTCATACAGCTTAAGCAACCTATATATATGAAGCTAAATGCAGCAGAGTCTAACGATTCAGGCCAAACATACATGAAATTTTGTCAGACATGGCACTCATGGAATGAAGGCAAGGGGTTGGAGTTGGTTGATGAAGTATTGGCAAATTCATATTCACCGTCAGAAGTGATGAGATGTGTGCATATTGGTCTTCTTTGTGTACAGGACAATGCAGCAGATAGGCCAACCATGCCAGATGTAGTTTCCATGCTAAGTACTGAGACAGATCGTCGGCAACCTAACCGGCCTATATTTACTGTTCAAAAGTCAGTCTCTGATCCTCAACCACAGTATGACAATATCTACTCCGGAAATGAAGCTACCATAACAGTGATTCAAGGACGATAAACAATAGCAAATTGTTATATACATCACAATGCTATGACATTTGGTCATTGTTTGTCAAGTGTTGTTCCTTCTCCTCACACACATTGAAGGTTTTCCTTCTTGTATAGAAAAGAACCCGTTTTCTCTCTTGGAGTTGGGACAGTAAATGAAGATTTTCCCAAACGTAGATACTAGACTGGAACTTTCTTGATTGGATACTTTGTCTTATTCTTGGTGTGATATATCATTATTATTTTTATTATAGATCGCCATAGATGCACTTAAACTCAAAGCAGTCAATCCTTGGTTGCAAAACAATGCCCTTGATGGTAATAACGGAATTACAGAAAGGATCAAATAATCCATCACTACCAACCAAATCTTAAATTGACATTGAAAAAGGAAAAATAGGATTTTTAGAATTAAAAATTGGAAAGCGGGATAGACTCTTTTTTCCAAATGAAGCCTGTCGAGCCCTATAATATAATATTATCTGTTATGAAAAATAAATAAATGCCTACGAAAAATTAGAAAATTATGCCAATTTTCTTAAAGTTGTTTATTACTTTAATTTAACCCTGCGAAATAAAAACATGATTTGGAAAGCAATCAAATGTCAGTGATCAATTTCAATTCAAGTAAATCGAGAATGATGAAGCTAAGGAAAGTAAATATTGGGACAAATCATGCATACATACAAGTTTGGAAAAGTTAATCAAATCAAGAGGAGATCAAACCACAATTTGGGAAACCCCAAATTTCATCTTTGATTGAGAATCCGAAAGATTGGGAATTTGTAAAAGACCCCAAGTAAAATATAAAAAATTAAAATTAAAAAAAAAAGTCCATTTTTGGCCCATATTGCTGCCGTAGTTGAAGAAGAGACCAAGAAAATACATAAAAAGCCAGAGTGGAAGTAGCTCTGTTTTCCTCTTCGCCCTAAGAGATATTGAAAAAAAAATGAGAGCTTTAACGAAGCAACAGTCTCTGTTTTTCATCATTTTGTGCCTCAACAGTTTACTTACTGTCTCCCCAATTGCCAGCTTAGAAGACGACTTATCTTTCACTCCAGATATATTGGTCGAAGGAAACATGACCATTGTCTCCCCCTGTGAAGTCTTTGAGTTGGGTTTCTTCAAGCCAGCCAATACTTCAGGCTGGTACTTGGGGATATGGTACAAAAATGTCCAAAACAGAACAGTTGTTTGGGTGGCCAACAGAGACACCCCACTTTCAAATTCATCAGGAGCTCTTTTGATGACTGGTGATCATGGAAACATTGTCCTTCTTGATCCATCTGGAAACGTCACTTGGTCATCCAATCACACCCAAGTTTTGAGACCAAATGTCCTGCTTTTGGATACAGGTAATCTTGTGATCAAAGAAGGAACCGAAAACAGCCAAACATTTTTCTGGCAGAGCTTTGATTATCCCACACACATTCTGCTTCCGGATATGAAGCTTGGATGGAACTTGAGCACAGGTTTAAACAGGCACTTGACCTCGTGGAAAAGCTCAGAGGACCCATCAACAGGGGACTTTTCTATCAAAATAGATTACCATGGCTTCCCGGAGATTTTCCTTTGGCACAAACATGTTAAAAACTTTCGAACCGGCCCCTGGAATGGGATGATATTTAGTGGTGTGCCGGAAATGTGTGCTTCGAAGCATGGTGTCGATTTCAACTTCGTTACGAAACAAGATGAGGTCTACTACTCGTTTTCATTACAGAACAAACTGGAACTTGAATATTCAGGCTTGACAGTGAGTCCAAATGGGGACGTTCAACAGATTACATGGGTTGAGAGCACAAAGATGTGGAATATATTTCAGTATCCCCCAAAGGACCAATGTGACAGCTATGGAGAGTGCGGTCCATTTGGTATTTGTGACACAAATGCTTCACCTGTGTGTAAATGTGTGAGGGGGTTTCAGCCTAAGAATTTGGAGGCTTGGAATTTGGGAAATGGTTTAGATGGGTGTGTGAGAAAACGAGAATTGAAATGCACAAAAGACAAGTTCTTGAGGTTGAGGAGTGTGAAATTGCCTGAGAGTGGGGGTGCATTTGTGGATGGGGACATCAGCCTTGAGGCATGTAAAGAGAAGTGTTTGGAGAACTGTTCTTGCAGTGCTTATTGTAACATGGAGATTACAAATGGAGGGAGAGGTTGCGTCATGTGGTTCAGGGAGCTAATGGACATGAGGGTATATGCAGATGGTGGCCAAGATCTCTATGTTCGATTGGCACCGTCTGAAATAGGTACCTTCCATTATTCAGACTACTTTATAATAACATCAACTATCACTAACTACAGTTATGTTCATTTCAGGTGGTGATGGGAAGGAAACACTAGCAATCATAATTGTAGTCGCTATAGTTGGTCTTGTCATTCTTCTAGCAGGACTTGGTTTCTACATTGTATGGAAGAGGAATTTGCGTATTAGCCGCAATGCAAGGACACAACCAAAAGGTACGTGCCTAGTAACTTAATTCTATATGTTCAACAGGTCCTTATGGAAGAAGCCAAGTGTTTTGTTTTCTAGTTTTTTGCTTATTTCTGAACAGGTCCTTGTGGAAGAAGCCAAGTTCTTCTGCTAAATGAGGTTGTTTTCACAAGTAAGGACTTCTACTCAGGGGAAAGGATCAATGATGAGCCAGAGTTGGCATTGATTGATTTCAGTACTGTAGCAGTGGCTACTAATAACTTTTCTGATGAAAATCTACTCGGAGAAGGTGGTTTCGGTTATGTTTACAAGGTAAGTGCATTTGGTTAGAAATCAATCACTAGATATAAAAGAAACTGCATATGCACCCGAAGTGGCTAAGAATATTTACCCTTACACTAAAGTCCCAAGTTCGTTTGATATATATATATATATATATATATATATATTAAGGTGACCTGACAGATTTATGTGTGGCTAATGCCAGGGGACATTGACAGAAGGTCAAGAAATTGCTGTCAAGAGACTTTCAAAAAACTCTGGACAAGGAACTGAAGAATTCAAAAACGAATTGAAGTTAATTGCAAGGCTTCAGCACATAAATCTTGTTAGACTGCTTGCTTGCTGCATTGATAAGGATGAACAGATGCTGATTTATGAATACATGGAAAACAAAAGCCTGGATGCCTTTTTATTCAGTAAGTGCCTCAAATTTAATTATCTTTACTTAATAGTTAAATAAAGTTGTTATAAAGTAAGTCAAAAATCATTGTAGGCAGAGAAAAAAGGTCTACGTTGGATTGGCAAAAGCGTTACAACATTATTTGTGGTATTGCTCGAGGACTTGTTTACCTTCACCAGGATTCAAGATTTAGAATCATCCATAGGGATCTCAAGGCAAGCAATATTTTACTCGATGGAGAATTCACCCCCAAGATATCAGACTTTGGAATGGCTAGAATATTTGGTAAAGATCAGAACGAATCTCATACAAGAAGAGTAGTAGGAACGTAGTGAGTATCATAAGCTTTCTATTTTGCTGATGAGGTCAACCCAATTACCTGACCAAAATACTAATCTCACTTCTTTTTATTGGGTGATCTGCAGTGGCTATATGTCTCCTGAATATGCAATGGACGGGTTCTTCTCAACCAAGTCAGATGTCTTTAGTTTTGGTGTTCTAGTGTTGGAGATTATTAGTGGCAAAAAGAACAAGGGATTTTTTAATTATTCAGACAATAAACCAAACCTCCTAGACTGTGTAAGTAAAAAGCGCATAGATTGTAATTACATTTCATTAGATGCACAAGTAACAAAGAAATGACTTGGATTTGTTGCAGGCTTGGAAGCAATGGAAAGAAGGAAAGGGGTTGGAGATAGTAGATTCATCACTTGGGAATTCATATTGCCCCTCTGAGGTGTTGAGATGCATTCAAGTTGGCCTTTTGTGCGTCCAAGAGCATGTGGTAGATAGACCTACAATGTCCTCTGTGGTTTTCATGTTGAGCAGTCCAGATGCAACAATGCCGCAGCCTAAAACCCCTGGTTTTTGTCTAGGAAGGAACCCTGCAGGTCAAACAGACTCATCTTCAAGCAAGTTGGAAGGATCTCGCACTATAGACCAAGTAACGATCGCAGCGTTAGACGGTAGGTAGTTAAGGTATGACCTTATCAAGCATGTTTATACATCTTACACAAACACGATTTCCTTGTGTATATTTAATCTGTGGTTAATTTTGTGTCAAAGGAATCAGAAGTCATGAGGTGATGCGAGACAAAGAAAGAGAAAAACGGTCTATACGCTCACGTACACTTTAAGTTTTTCTCTGAAAGGTATGACTTCACAATTATTTTGGGGTGAACAAACGAATACATTAAACCAAAAGGGCCTAAACCAAGTACACCAAGCCAGAACGAAAGTAAACGAAGGGCAAGCTCAACATGCTGAGCAAAGACACGGGAAAAACCCAAAAGATCAAGCAAAAAGCCAGAAACAAAACACTGACTCTACGGAAAGTTCAACCGCAGCCTTTGCACTCGTGAAGACGAAGAATCACCCAGCAGGGTTTAATTTCCAACGGTGGCATCACATTTTGCAATGTACAATTGTCAAGATATAAAGAAAAAACAAGAAGCTCACAAATAAAGTCTTTTGTGGCCACAATACTGAAGAAGATGGTGTAAATTCGTGCCCAGAGCAACAATCTGCTGTGTAATGTCATATTTTGAAGTTGTAACAGCCAATTTATGCATTTCGGTTTGTGGCTCATCTAAAGGTTGCATCACCAAATTCATCACTCTCTTTCATAAAGTTCACACGAATGGATAGATTAGAAATTTGTATTAAGGTGATGGGCACATTATGCAGTGCCCACATATGTCATATGAAGGTCAATAAAACAAATAACATTTTGATAATTGTGGAAACAAGAGCCTGAATCCTTATCGAGCGTCAATTTTAGTTATTGTCAAGTCATTAACAGAATATAATCCTTGTGAACTTGATAGATAACCACCACTGCGGGAACTTTTTCTGAATACAAATGCAGGCTGCTGAGGAGATGGTAGAGATGCTTCACCACTCAACATAAATACAACGGCTGACATGGTTGGTCGGTCCTCTGAATCTTCTTGCACGCACAAGAGCCCGACTTGAATGCATCTCAAGACTTCATCAGAATGATATGACTGTAGTGATGAATCCACAATTTCTAAGGCTCTATCTTCTCTCCACAGCTGCCAACCTGTAGTTGTTGACAGTAACATTTTCAGAAAGGGATGAATATGAGTAGTAACCAGGAAGGGGAAATTGTTGACAAAGTTTGTGTTGCTCACATGTCCTATCAAGTTCATGGAATGGTCCTCTTGATAAGAGCCATTGTTTTTCTTGCCACCCACAATCTCCAATAATATGATCCCAAAACTAAAGACATCTGATTTGGTTGAATATCTTCCAAACACTGCATACTCTGGTGACATATATCCACTGCATTACAACCAAAGAGTAATAAGATGAATATGGAAGGTGAGATTATGGTGAATTAATCCATGAATGTGTGATTGCAAGTATAGTTCTTACTATGTTCCAACAACTCTGTTGGTTTTATCCTGCAGTTGGTCCCCATGGAATATTCTTGCCATGCCAAAATCTGATATTTTTGGGTTCATCTCAGCATCTAGAAGAACATTGCTGGTTTTTAGATCCCTATGAATAATCCTAAGTCTTGAATCCTGGTGAAGATACAGAATCCCACGAGCAACCCCGTTGATAATTTCAAACCGCTTTTTCCAGTCCAACAAGGAACTTCTTGTGTGATCTACATCGAGATATTTGGCTTTTAAGTAAATAAATGTTATATACTTTAGTAAGAAGCTTAAAAAATATTCTTCAAAATTTTAGAAATGGCATGTACAAATGAATATTTCCTCTAGACATACCAAAAAGAAAGGAGTCCAAGCTTTTGTTCGGCAAGTATTCCAGGACTAACATCCTTTCTTCTCCCTTTATACAACAGCCTAAAAGTTTCACAAGATTCCTGTGTTGAAGTCTGGCTATCAGCGCAACTTCATTTTTGAATTCTTCAATTCCTTGTCCTGAAGTTTTGGACAATCTTTTTACAGCAATCTTCTGATCATTTGCTAACTGACCCTGAAGTTATGGTTCAGCACTATTATAAATCTTTCAGAAGAAGAGTATTTTCTACTTCTCAGAAGAAATCATTCAATTATGAAATGTTAGGACTTTGATATTAGAACTTACCTTATAAACAGTGCCAAAACCACCTTGGCCAAGTTTATTGACAGGAGAGAAGTTGCCTGTGGCTACTATTATTGCGCTCAGATGGAAAAATTGCAGCTCTGGGTGTCTCCTAGTTTCCTCAAGTTCATCCGCCTCCACAAAATCTTTGCTATCACAAAAAGCATATTAGCATTCATTTTCTCCTTAGTGTTCTGTTTGCACACTAGAAAATGGAAATTTAACACAGCACATATGGATCCTATTGAAGTGGAGTGGTTCAGTCAGACTGCAAAAGTGTTATGACCAATTCCATACTTTTATGAGCACACTGCTTTTTATTTAGATGAAACAGTTAAACAATTCAAAGCAGATGAGTACTTCTCATACCTTTCATCTTCCTCTTTTTCTTAAGCCACCAGCAAGCAAACCCAATGATTAGTACCAATGCAACAGCTGCCATTGGAATAGCCAGCAAGCCCCTACTTTTGAGAAAACCTTTCGATTTTCTGGTATTCTCAGCTACACAAAAGAGAGACAAAGGATTAGAAAACCATGAAAAAGAGAACTCATGTGGAATCCAAAACCAGTCCAGTAAGTTCCACACAGATTCTGAAATTTACAATTGAATTTTCCTTTGCAAGTGAAGTAGTACCTAATTCCATTTTGTCCACACGAACATATAGATCTCGCCCTAGCTCCGTGTGTACTAAAATGTCCCACAACTCACCATACCATGCCAAGCAATTAATGCGGCCTTCCCATTCTATGCTCATATAGGCCGTGCAGGAACAATTGCTTAAGCACACCTGCTCACACTCATTGGCACTAGTATTTGGCAACAATTGTGCTGCTTTCGATGTGTCTGGATCTTTCACCCGTGCCACCTTCACAAACCCATCCCCATCCCCACAGTTTGACACCCCAATTCGCTTGCTCACACACCCGTCTGACCCATCTCTCCGGTTCCAATCATTCAAAGATTTTGGTTCATACCCCGGTAGGCACTCACATTCAAACATATTAATATTGTCAGGGCTACATTTGCTGTTGGCACCACACTGTCCATATTGGTCACACCGGTATTTTGGGGCAGCAAAGAGTACCTCCCACTGATTAACAGCATCATTCCATCTCAGTTGTTCAGTTACCCCATAATCCGTCAACACGGATCTAATTACTGAGGTGTTATCAGTTAAAAGGAAATAATACATTTCTTCATTATTACTCACAAAACTGGGCCATGGCCCTGGATCACATCTCCAATATTTGGTCAAACCCATGTACAGAAAATATTGGGGCGTAGCAGTCTGGTTTGAATAGAGCCTCAAGCTATAGTTACCAGTTCCAGGGTCATTTTGGGACTTCCAAGATGTTAAGACCCATTCCAACCCAATTTTCCAATTTAACCCAACTTTCATTCCTGGAAGTAGAGTATCTGTAGGATAATCAAAACTCTGCCATATAAATCTTTCACTTTTACTATCCTGGAAAAGCACTAAATTTCCTGTATCTAAAAGCTGAGCTACACTGCTTGTGGTTTGGACCGACACATTTGTGGACCAAATAGAAAGTTTCTCAGTATTGTGAGCATAAAGAACCAATTTTCCGTACCTGTTGATTGTGAGAACACCAGAGGTATCATTGATGGGGTTGTTTCTGTTTGCAACCCAAACCACTGCCTTTTCAGACTTATTAGCATACCAAATCCCAACATAGCGAGAGCTCGAGTTGCCGGGGCTGAAGAAGCCTAATTCAAAGTTGTTTTCTTTGGACACTATAAAGTCACCATCTTTCACCTGCTGGTTCACTGCTATGGTGTCAATGGATGTGCAAAATGGGAAGAGGAAGAAGAAGACAAGCAAAGTATATAAAAACATTTTTTTTTCTGGGCATTTGCGAATTTGCATGTGCGATGAACGGGGTGGTGTTTCACTTATTTTTTCTTGGTTAGTTGATTGTCTGTCACTGTCCGCATTTGAATGACATTGATTTTTTTTTTTTTTTGATTTCTTTTTTTTTTTTTTTTTTTTTTTTTTTTTTTTTTTTTTTTTTGATCTTTTTTGTGTTTTTTTTTTTTTTTTGGAAAGTTTGTCGTGTTGGATATTTGAATCCAGCAGCATGGCACGTTTCGTTTGGTCATTGGTAGTTCAACACGATAACAACAGCCACGCCTGGCTATCTATAGGCGCCATTCTGGGCTGAACTCAAAAGTCTTGGATGTTGACTGACTCAATGAGTCAACCATTGAGATTAATAAATACTGGATTGACATCCTTGTTAACTATGCCGACTTCTGGAGGATTGGGTTGCATTAGTCTTGGTAGAACTGTTATAATTTAACTGCATCTAGATAAATGGGTTGAGAAGTTACGAGTAATTTTGAGATTGAGAAGTTATAAGTGATTTTGAGGATTTTTTTACTATCAGAAGTTATTAGTAATGTGCAATTGTAATTGTATGAAGACAAAACAAGACCGAAGATTGCAAATGGCATTATTTCGTGTGACATTTTGAAGATCGTAAAGGTTGCAATTTGTGGCTTATGTAAAGGTTGCTAAAATATGAAAACTATAAGAGAATATTTGTTTGTGGGAATTTTCTTTATGTCCTTCTCCTTGTAGGAGGTCATATTTATAATACAATAAAACCTGAATGGGCAAGTAAATAATAAATTCATAAATCTATTTACAATAGGAAATCAAGAATTAAAGTAAATCAATTATAATTATAATAGGAATTCTTGGTGTGTAAGGAAAGTAAGTTAATATCCACAAGTCACGCCAACACTCCCCCTCACGTTGGTGCATAGATGTCGCCAATGCCCAACTGATCCAGTGAATTGTGGAATGCTTTACTGGAAATCGTCTTTGTCAAAATATCCATCAATTGATCCTCGGATTTCACAAAAGGAAACTGAAACACTTTAGCCTCAAGTTTTTGTTTGATGAAGTGTCGATTCACCTCAACATGTTTAGTACGATCATGCTAAACCGGATTCTGTGCAATGGCTATAGCAGCCTTGTTGTCACAAAAGAGATTCATTGTAGATGTAGGTTTACACCCAAGTTCAGTAAGCAACTTTCTTAACCAAAGAAGTTCACAAATCCTTTTAGTCATGCCTCTGAACTCGGCTTCTGCACTGGATAAAGCTACTACATTCTGTTTCTTGCTCCTCCATGTCACCAAATTACCTCCCACGAATGTGAAGTAACCCGATGTGGATTTTCTATCTGTTACATTACTTGCCCAATCTGCATCTGAATAACCATAAATATTTAGATGACCATGCTTTGAGAACATAAGTCCTTTTCCAGGTGCAGACTTCAAATATCTAAGTATCCGAAGAACTGCATTCATGTGGTCTTCACTTGGAGAGTGCATAAATTGACTGACAACGCTCACTGCATAAGCAATGTCTGGTCGAGTATGTGACAAATAGATCAATCTTCCCACTAACCTTTGGTATCTTTCTTTGTTAGTTGGAACTTGATCCGGATATTCTCCAAGATGATGATTCTGAACAATAGGAGTGTCCGCAGGTTTGCAATCTAGCATTCCTGTATCTGTCAACAAGTCCAAGACATATTTCTCGATCTTTAAGAGTAGCCCACCAATCGGGATAGCCATGCAATTTAAAACAAGTCTCACGAGTGTGTCTTGGATCACCACAATATTCGCAATCTGGTTCATGTGTCTGGGTCCTTAGTCGAGAAGTCATAATCTGTGCAGCGGAAGATGTATAGGATAAAAGTTTAGTAGGAATTCGGATCGGGATCTGAGCCTGAGTCGGGGTCGGAGTCGGATTCGAAGTCGGGATCGGGGTCTGAATCAAAGACAAATTCGGGGTCGGGGTCGGAGTCATCATCGGAGTGGGGGTCGAGGTCATTGTCGGAGTCGGAGTCAGAGTCGAGGTCGTCGTCGTCGTCATAGTCGGGGTCAGGGTCGGGGTCGTCAAAAGAGGATCCTGATTCAGGATTAGATTCGAGGCCAAAGTCTGCATCTGTAGGAGCTGAGCCATCTGGGCACTCAACTCGGCTATGATTGGTTGAGAATGAGAGAAGGAGTCGGTGGTGCTACCTCCATGAGGGATGAAAAAATCACCAACCCCCATAGCGGTGGTGGGGGTGTGAAACTAGAGTAAGCAATTCCAAGATCGCCGCTCTGATACCATGCTAAAATATGAAAACTATAAGAGAATATTTGTTTGTGGGAATTTTCTGTGTGTTCTTCTCCTTGTAGGAGGTCATATTTATAATACAACGGAACCTGAATGGGCAAGTAAATAATAAATTCCTAAATCTATTTACAATAGGAAATCAAGAATTAAAGTAAATCAATTATAATTATAATAGGAATTCTTGGTGTGTAAGGAAAGTAAGTCAATATCCACAAGTCACGCCAACAAAGGTTGCATCTTCAAATTCATCACACTTTCTAAAAGTTCACATTATGCAATGCCAGTGCCATTGAAGATCAATAAACAAATTTAGCATTTTGATACTGTGAAAATAAAAGCACGAGCATGAATCATTATCGAGCTTCAACTTTGGTTATTGTCAAGTCATTAACCGAATATAAATGCAGACAGGAACTTTTTCTGAAGACAAATGCAGGCTGCTGAGGAGATGGTAGAGATGCTTCACCACTCAACATAAACACAACGGCTGACATGGTTGGTCGGTCCTTCGGGTCTTCTTGCACGCACAAGAGCCCGACTTGAATACATCTTGTGACTTCATCAGAATGATATGACTCTAGTAATGAATCCACAATTTCTAAGGCTCTGTCTTCTCTCCACAGCTGCCAAACCTGTAGTTGTTGACAGTAACATTTTGAAAAGTGATGAATATAAGTAGTCAGTGGTAGTTAGTAAGCAGAAATTGTAGGCAGAGTTTGTGCTGCTCACATATCCTATCAAATTCATGGAATGGTCCTCTTGATAAGAGCCATTATTTTTCTTGCCACTCACAATCTCCAATAATACAATCCCAAAACTAAAGACATCTGAATTGGTTGAATATCTTCCAAACACTGCATACTCTGGTGACATATATCCACTGCAATTGAACAAAATAAAATTGCATTACAGCCAAAGAATAGTAAAAGGAATATGAAAGGTGAGATTATGGTGCTTCAATCCATGAATGTGTGAGTGCACGTAGGATTCTTACTATGTTCCAACAACTCTGTTGGTTTTATCCTGCAGTTGGTCCCCATGGAATATTCTTGCCATTCCGAAATCTGAAATTTTTGGGTTCATCTCAGCATCTAGAAGAACATTGCTGGTTTTTAGATCCCTGTGGATAATCCTAAGCCTTGAATCCTGGTGAAGATACAGAACCCCACGAGCAACCCCATTGATAATTTCAAACCGCTTTTTCCAATCCAACAAGGACCTTCTTGAGTGATCTACATCAAGACATTTATCTTTTGTGTAAATAAATGTTATATAGTTTGGTAAGAAGCATCAAACATATTCTTCATAATATTAGAAATTGAATGAACAAAGTCAAGACGCATTCGGGAAGCGAGACTATCTTTCCTCTAGACATACCGAAAACAAAGAAGTCCAAGCTTTTGTTTGGCAAGTATTCAAGGACTAACATCCTATCCTCTCCCTGTATACAGCATCCTAAAAGTTTCACAAGATTCCTGTGTTGAAGTCTGGCAATCAGCGCAACTTCATTTTTGAATTCTTTAATTCCTTGTCCTGAAGTTTTGCAGAGTCTTTTTACAGCAATCTTCTGATCATTTGGTAGCTGACCCTGAAATTATGGTTCAGTACTACTATTAAGCTTACAGAAGAAGAGTATTTTCTACTGCTCAGAAGAAATCATTCAATTATGAAATGTTAGGACTTTGAAACGGGACCTTACCTTATAAACAGTGCCAAAACCACCTTGGCCAAGTTTATTGACAGGAGAGAAGTTGTCTGTAGCTGCTATTATTGCACTCAGATGGAAAATTGCAGCTCTGGGTGTCTCCTACTTTCCTCAAGTTCATCCGCCTCCACAAAGTCTTTGCTATCACAAAAAGAAAATTAGCATTCATTTTCTCCTCAGTGTTCTATTTGCATTGACAAAATGACTGGAAAATGGAACTTTAACACAGCGCATAAGGATCCTATTGAAGAGGAGTGTTTAGATGTGAATTACAGACTGCACACATGTTATGACCAGTTCCGTATTTCCATGAGCACATTGCTTTTTTATTTAGATGAAACAGTTAAACAATTCAAAACAGATGAGTACATCTCATACCTTTTATCTTCCTCTTTTTATTAAGCCACCAGCAGGCAAACACAATGATTAGTACCAATGCCAGAAGAACAGCCACTATTAGAATAGCCAGCAAAACCCTCCTTTTGAGAAAACCTTTCGATTTTCTGGTATTCTCAGCTACACATAAGAGTGGGACAAAGATTAGAACCATGAAAAAGAGAACTCATATGGACGCCAAAACCAGTCCAGTAAGTCATAGACTCTGAATATTTATAATTGAAATTTTCCTTGGCAAGACAAGTAGTACCTAATTCCATTTTGTCCACACGAACATACAGATCTTGTCCTAGCTCTGTGCGGACTAAAATGTCCAGCAACTCACCATACCATACCAAGCAATCAATGCGGCCTTCCCCTTCTATGCTCATATACGCGGTGCAGGAACAATTGCTTAAGCACACCTGCTCACACTGATTGGCACTAATACTTGTCAACAATTGTGCTGCTTTTGTTGTGTCTGGCTCTTTCACCCGTGCCACCTTCACAAACCCTTCCCCATTCCCACATTCTGGCAGCCCAATTCGCTTACTAACACACCCCTCTGACCCATCTCTCCTGTTCCAATCATTCAAAGATTTTGGTTCGTACCCTGGTAGACACTCACACTCAAACATATTAACGTTGTCAGGGCTACATTTGCTGTTGGCACCACACTGTCCATATTGGTCACACCGGTATTTTGGTGCAGCCCATAGTTCCTCCCATTGATTAACAGCGTCACTCCATCTCAGTTGTTGATTGAACCCATAATCCGTCAACACCCATCTAATTACAGAGGTGTTATCAGTCACAAACAAAAAATACATTTCTTCATTACTACTCACAAAATCGGGCCACGGCCCTGGATCAATTCTCCAATATTTGCTCACACCCTTATACAGAAAATATTGGGGCGTAGCAGTCTGGTTTGAAAAGAGCCTCAAGCTATAGTTCCAAGTTCCAGGGTCATTTTGGGACTTCCAAGATGTTAAGACCCATTCCAACCCAATTTTCCAATTCAACCCAACTTTCATTCCGGGAAGTAGAGTATCTGTAGGGTAGTCAAAACTCTGCCATATAAAGCTTTCACTTTTACTAGTACTATCCGGGAAAAGCACTAAATTTCCTGTATCTAAAAGCTGAGCTACAGAAGTGCTTGTGGTTTGAAGAGACACATTTGCGGACCAAATAGAAAAGCTGTCAATATCGTGTGCATAAATAACCAAATTTCCATACCTGTTGATGGTGAGGACGCCAGAGGTATCATTGATGGGGTTGTTTCTGTTTGCAACCCAAACCACTGCCTTGTCAGACTTATTAGCATACCAAATTCCAACATAGCGAGAGCTCGAATTGCCGGGGCTGAAGAAGCCTAATTCAAAGTTGTTTTCTTTGGACACTATAAAGTCACCATCTTTCACATGCTGGTTCACTGCTATGGTGTCAATGGATGTGCAAAATGGGAAGAGGAGGAGGAAGAACACAAGCAAAGCTTTGAAAAGCATTTTGTTTTCTGGGAATTTTTGGAGTTTGCATGTACAATGAATCGGTTGGTGTTTCTGCTGCTTCTGAATTATTGACAATGTTTTATATCAGCAGCATGGCTCTATTCCAAGTGTTTAATGTTGACTGACGAAATCGGCGGCAGGCGGACAGACAGTCATTATTGATTTTCTTTTTATAGATAATCATGGCGTGATGATTATGATTATGATTATGATTATGATTAAGTTGGAATCCAAAACTCTTCGCCCCTCAATATATGCATGTATTAAAACTCATCTTACATACTGGATTGATAGGGGAGCGGCGGGTGATAGCCTTGTTAACTATGGGCCGACTTTGGGAATGGGTTGGCCCATACTTGACCTTTCCACAAGCCCAAATCGGTAGAGTTTTGTTTGAAGACCATGTTGGTGTTTGTCAACCCAAAACTGTGTGCGCCTAAGGTAGAGACACTGTAACGAGGGTTTATAAGGGCTTAAAGTGAGGGGGTTATTTGAAGAGGTCAAATCTCATCATCAACAAATGTAAAGAAATCATGGGACTTAAATATTTTAAATGTTTTGACGGTCAGATCGGTCTCCTCAAATAACCTCCTCACTTTAACTCCTCATTATAGAAGCTCCCTTATAATGACCGGTTATTTTGAGGGGGTAACTAGATTAAACCCCTCAACACACAACCTCAACTTAGGCCCCCTACATGCCTAAAGTTCTTGGAACTCAGGCCTCCGGTTCACCAAGAACATACTAAATAGTTTACGTTGTTTGCTAATACAAGTATGTCACGTAAACGAGAAAATTTGTTTAAGTTATGACCAAATGTATACAAGCCGTGCCTTTGCAAGAGTTTTTTTTGTTTGTTGGTCAAAAGACCATTCCAAGAGTCTAGCAAAGCAGTTAATTGATAAGAAGGGAGGAAGCCAAAAAGAATAGCAGTTTGATAATTATGACAGCAAGAGCATGTATCATTTTCGAGACTCAAGTTTAGTTATTGTCAAGTCGTTAATAGACGAATCTGATCCTTTTGGAATTGATGGATCAGCAGCATCATTGCCGGAACTTTTTCTGAAGACAAATGCAGGCTGCTTAGGAGATGGAGGAGATGCTTCACCACTCAACATAAATACAACGGCTGACATGGTTGGTCGGTCCTCTGAATCTTCTTGCACGCACAAGAGCCCGACTTGAATGCATCTCAAGACTTCATCAGAATGATATGACTGTAGTGATGAATCCACAATTTCTAAGGCTCTATCTTCTCTCCACAGCTGCCAAACCTGTAGTTGTTGACAGTAACATTTTCAGAAGGGATGAATATGAGTATTAAGTAGGAAGGGGAAATTGTTGGCAAAGTTTGTGTTGCTCACATGTCCTATCAAGTTCATGGAATGCTCCTCTTGATAAGAGCCATTGTTTTTCTTGCCACTCACAATCTCCAATAATATGATCCCAAAACTAAAGACATCTGATTTGGTTGAATATCTTCCAAACACTGCATACTCAGGTGACATATATCCACTGCATTACAACCAAAGAATTAAAAGATGAATATGAAAGGTGAGATTATGGTGATTTAATCCATGAATGTGTGATTGCAAGTATAGTTCTTACTATGTTCCAACAACTCTGTTGGTTTTATCCTGCAGTTGGTCCCCATGGAATATTCTTGCCGTGCCAAAATCTGATATTTTTGGGTTCATCTCAGCATCTAGAAGAACATTGCTGGTTTTTAGATCCCTATGAATAATCCTAAGTCTTGAATCCTGGTGAAGATACAGAATCCCACGAGCAACACCATTGATAATTTCAAAGCGCTTTTTCCAATCCAACAAGGAACGTCTTGTGTGATCTACATCGAGATATTTGGCTTTTGAGTAAATAAATATTATATATATACTTTAGTAAGAAGCTTAAAAAAATTTCTTCCAAATTTTAGAAATGGCATGTACAAATGAATATTTCCTCTAGACATACCAAAAAGAAAGGAGTCCAAGCTTTTGTTCGGCAAGTATTCCAGGACTAACATTCTTTCTTCTCCCTTTATACAACAGCCTAAAAGTTTCACAAGATTCCTGTGTTGAAGTCTGGCTATCAGTGCAACTTCATTTTTGAATTCTTCAATTCCTTGTCCTGAAATTTTGGACAATCTTTTTACAGCGATCTTCTGATCATTTGCTAACTGACCCTGAAGTTATGGTTCAGCACTATTATAAAGCTTTGAGAAGAAGACTATTTTCTACTTCTCAGAAGAAATCATTCAATTATGAAATGTTAGGACTTTGATATTAGAACTTACCTTATAAACAGTGCCAAAACCACCTTGGCCAAGTTTGTTGACAGGAGAGAAGTTGCCTGTGGCTACTATTATTGCGCTCAGATGGAAAAATTGCATCTCTGGGTTTCTCCTAGTTTCCTCAAGTTCATCCGCCTCCACAAAATCTTTGCTATCACAAAAAGCATATTAGCATTCATTTTCTCCTTAGTGTTCTGTTTGCACACTAGAAAATGGAAATTTAACACAGTGCATATGGATCCTATTGAAGCGGAGTGGTTCAGTCAGACTGCAAAAGTGTTATGACCAATTCCATACTTTCATGAGCAAACTGCTTTTTATTTAGATGAAACGGTTAAACAATTCAAAGCAGGTGAGTACTTCTCATACCTTTCGCCTTCCTCTTTTTCTTAAGCCACCAGCAGGCAAACCCAATGATTAGTACCAATGCAACAGCCGCCATTGGAATAGCCAGCAAGCCCCTACTTTTGATAAAACCTTTCGATTTTCTGGTATTCTCAGCTACACAAAAGAGTGAGACAAAGGATTAGAAAACCATGAAAAAGAGAACTCGTGTGGACACCAAAACCAGTCCAGTAAGTTTCACAAAGATTCTGAAATTTACAATTGAATTTTCCTTGGCAAGCGAAGTGGTACCTAATTCCATTTTTTCCACACGAACATATAGATCTCGCCCTAGCTCTGTGTGTATTAAAATGTCCCACAACTCACCGTACCATGCCAAGCAATCAATGCTACCTTCCCATTCTATGCTCATATATGCCGTGCAGGAACAATTGCTTAAGCACACCTGCTCACACTCATTGGCACTAGTACTTGTCAACAATTGTGCTGCTTTCAATGTGTCTGGATCTTTCACCCGTGCCACCTTCACAAACCCATCCCCATCCCCACAGTTTGACACCCCAATTCGCTTGCTTACACACCCGTCTGACCCATCTCTCCGGTTCCAATGATCCGAAGATTTTGGTTCATACCCCGGTAGGCACTCACATTCAAACATATTAATATTGTCAGGGCTACATTTGCTGTTGGCACCACACTGTCCATATCGGTCACACCGATATTTTGGGGCAGCGAAGAGTTCCTCCCAGTGATTAACCGCATCATTCCATCTCAGTTGCTGTAGTATCCCATAATCCGTCAACAAGGATCTAATTACAGAGGTGTTATCAGTTGAAAGGAAAAAATACATTTCTTCATTATTACTCACAAAACTGGGCCATGGCCCTGGATCACTTCTCCAATATTTCGTCAAACCCTTGTACAGAAATATTTGGGGCGTAGCAGTCTGGTTTGAATAGAGCCTCAAGCTATAGTTACCAGTTCCAGGGTCATTTTGGGATTTCCAAGATATTAAGACCCATTCCAACCCAATTTTCCAATTCAACCCAACTTTCATTCCTGGAAGTAGAGTATCTGTAGGATAATCAAAACTTTGCCATATAAAGCTTTCACTTTTACTATCCTGGAAAAGCACTAAATTTCCTGTATCTAAAAGCTGAGCTACACGAGTGCTTGTGGTTTGGACCGACACATTTGTGGACCAAATAGAAAGATTCTCAGTATTGTGAGCATAAAGAACCAATTTTCCATACCTGTTGATGGTGAGGACGCCAGAGGTATCATTGATGGGGTTGTTTCTGTTTGCAACCCAAACCACTGCCTTGCCATACTTATTAGCATACCAAATTCCAACATAGCGAGAACTCGAGTTGCCGGGGCTGAAGAAGCCTAATTCAAAGTTGTTTTCTTTGGACACTATAAAGTCACCATCTTTCACAAGTTGGTTCAGTGCTATGGTGTCAATGGATGAGCAAAAGGGAAAGAGGAGGAGGAAGAACACAAGCAAAGCTTTGAGATACATTTTTGTTTTTCTGGGAATTTGGAATTTTGCATGTACGATGAATCTGGGGGTGTTTCATTGATGTTTCTTTTTTGTCAGCGGTACAACAGGTTACAGGACAATAACATTCACACACATTGGTAGTTCACTATTGGTATTGTCAGTTACCGACTTGTCCAACCATCATTATTGACTGTCTATTTATGGCAAGATTTTAGTGAGGCGGCTACTGCTAGGTACTTCTGACTTATGAAGTTGTTCTTGCTTGCATAAAATAAAAAAATTAAAAATTAAAAATTAAAAAATTAAAAAAATTAAAAAAAAATTGAAACCCAAAACACTTGGAATGTTTCCGCGAAGTAGACATGGGCCAAATTTAGGAATGTCTTGCCCGATACGACCTTACCCAAACCCAAATTGGCGGAGCCCTGTTTGAGGACCATGTTCATGTTGCTGTTGGTGTGGCTGTTACTCGGCCCAAATTTGTGTGTGTGCTTAAAGGTTGCTTGGGCCTCAGGCCTCCACTTTACCAAAAAATTGACTATTTTTTCAATTACATTTCCTAATATTGCTTGAGTCCTGGTGAAGATACAGAATCCCACGAGCAACCCCATTTTCAAAGCACTTTTTCCAATCCAACAAGGATCTTCTCGTGTGATCTGCATCAAGATATTTGGCTTTCGAGTAAATAAATGTTATATAGTTTGTTTACACCATAATCAACCGAGTATATCCAGCTTCAAAGTGACTAGCACTAAGAGCAGACACGCCTTCTCTCATGCCAAAGGAAAATACTCTTCCGAGGTGCAAAGCACTTACTGAAACTCCCAACTGCCGAAGCTCCCAAATTGCCAAAACTACTCTAAATGACACGTGTCACCACCACAGCAACTTGCACAAAGTCCCACATCGGAAATCTACACAAACTTCCCACTTTCACCTCCCTATAAAGAGGGAATAGTATCCATGTGAAAATGGGGACTTCTTCTCTCCACTTAGAGGAGGATCCAAGTCTCAGAGCTAGACCCTAGGGCCGGGGACTCTCTTCTAGATCCCTGGCCTGGGCATCTCACTTGTCATCTTTATGTTCGGGTACAACCCCATGTACAAATGTAATCATACACTATTATAATGAGAACATACTTCTTCGTGAACGGCAAGAGCTGACGAAATTGGATGGAGGCTCGCGAGACAACAGCTCGCAAGGTCTTCAGCCTTGCCTACCGAGACTCTCTCACCAAACCTGAAGTGGAAGGGAGGGCACAAGAAAATCCCAAATGAACCCTGTCGTTCGGCAGGGCTTGGATCACCGATCAATCGATCGTGAAACCAGCCTCTTGCTTCCTTGCCAAAACGCGAGAACGAGACGGGACCTGCTCTGAGCTCTTGGCCAAATCCAAGCTTCTTGCCTAATCTGTAAGGCCCAGCTCAGCTTCACCAGCCTTGCCGAACAGCTCCAACCAAAGAAACCCAGCTCCCAAACTCTTCCTTGCTAAACCCAGGCTCGTTCTGGGCACTGTCTTGCAAAGACAAACACGACCCACTAGAGCTCCCTTTGAAACCACACCCTTGCCGAACGGCAAGGTTTGGGCATAGGCAAAAGGCCCTGCCGAACCTTGATACAGAAACAACCGAGGGCTAAACCAAGCCTAGACCCGAAACCAAGCCTACAATGAGGCCCCTCCTCACACCCTTGCCAAACGGCAAGGGTCTTGCTGAAGCCGATAGAGGCACGAAGGCCTCCTTGCCGATTGACAGTTCTGCTGGAAGATGGACAGACCTCAACAAGAAAAGAGTTTTTAGGAAACCCTCGCCGTTCGGCAAAGGTCTCGCTGAGAACTGGTACTCCACAAGATCACCCCCTACCGAAGCTACACAGCCTCGGCACCTTCCGAATGCTCTTTGCCGAATACCTCCTTGCTATTCCAAACGGCAGAAGGTCTTAGGTCCCAGAGGCATGCACACCTCTTCCAAACCCTAGCTCCGTAGAACAATGGCCCAATTCACATACTTTCAAAACCCAACTAAGGCTACGACCAAACTAGCCCCACGTGGCCTAGCCCAGCTCCATTGCTGAAGCCCAGCTATCCAGTTACCAAAGGCAAACAAAAAAAAAGAAAAAAGGGTAGAGTGTCTTG